ATGTGAGCACAACTCAGGCAGTTTTATTCTAGGAAATGAAGCTATAAATTCAGATCAAAATGCTTCAATAATCCTGTGTTCTTTTACAGCCATTTCTCATCCAAATATTTTAAGGTACTCAGTAAGCATTAACCTTCAGAGGACTTTAGGGAGGGAATTTTAGAACTCTTGACTGCTGCTTAAATACGGACCAAGCAGGGAAGAATGTGATGCTGCAGTGCACTGAGGCGTAGCAGGAGATATTTCTGTGCCAAAAGTCAAAGACCCCTGCAGTCTTTAATTCACATGCTGTCTTTTGACACAGAGATAGTCCCAGTGAAGTCACAGGATCTGAATGGTTGGGTTGGAAGGGACCTTAAAGATCATCTAGTTCTAACCCCCCTGCCATGGTGAAATTCTGGGGTTTCAACCCCAAGCCCCAAATTAAGGTTGACATATGGGTGATTCCCACAGCTCTTCACAAAGGGGGGGTGAGTTTGCCTTCAGGCTTCCCTCCAGGGTGCAGCCGGCCTGGCAGGGAGAGCCATGGGGTAAATGAGCCCCAGGTGTCTGCATTGAGTAACCCAAGGTCAGGTGTCCCACTGAGGGATAAAAGCTGGGAGCACTTGCAGGCAGGGGCAGTGTCTGTGTGTGAGGTGGATGCCCTGTGCAGAGTTCCCTGTTGGGGAAGGACCTCCTGCCTCCCTAGGACTGGGCTCCAGTCAGGTCTGGCCTTTGTAAATGGGGGCTGTGTAGAGATTCAGTATGTGGCTTCCTTGGTCTTATGTATTTGGTTTGTTGGCTTGGTTGTCTCCTGTCCCTTCTATGGGAGACTGCATGTCACCATTTATTCCACTCATTGTTGGTTGTGTGATGGCGTTGTTGGGGTCAGTGGGATTGATGTCGATTATGTGTAATCTGACTTGTTTGTACCCCCAGTGCTCACCCATGTATTCACCCTTTTGTATCAAACGCAATTTGGTTATGGGTTCATCTTTATGCTGGCTGTGTCCTTTATGCTAGGCCTGATAATTGGCAAAACACATGTGCAGGGACACCTTCCACTAGCCCAGGTTGCCCAAAGCCCCGTCCAACCTGGCCTTGAACACTGCCAGGGAGGGGGCAGCCACAGCTTCTCTGGGCAACCTGTGCCAGTGTCACACCACCCTCACAGTGAAGAATTTCTTCCTTACATCTAACCTAAATCTATCCTCTTTCAGTTTAAAGCCATTACCCCATGTCCTATTCCTACGTGCCTTTATAAAAAGTCCCTCTCAGGCTTTCACTGTGTATTTCAATTCCCTGAGATGTTCAGTTTTACTGAGTGCTAATTGAGAGGAAAATAGTGTTACGCATCCTGAATTGTTCCTTATGCAGAAGCTAAACTGATCTCACAGTTTGACTCTTAAAAAACAGTAAATATTTTCTCTAGTAAGCAGTGAAGTTGGATTCTGACATTTTCTACCAAATTCCCTTTTACTTGTATTGGATGTGAGAATGTGCATCTGGAAAAATATTATGAATCCTCTGTAGACAGAAACTGTCAAAAATCACTGGGAAGTAATTGGGAAGTAAATTACTGGCAGTTGCCCAAATGCCAACTCCTGTGAACTTCTCAGCTGAAGGTGTGTCTCTGTTGTTTTTACTGTATGTATTATTCCAACTGTCAGTTGCCTTCAAAAATGTTTTAGAAATGGGGTTTCAAACCTTCTCCCAGAATACAGTAGCTTGTGGGCAAAACGGAATGATTTATTGCAAGCATTTTACCAGAAAACCCATGCTGAGATACTTCTGCAGTGTCTTCTGATATGGTTTCCAAGAGTGCTCATTATCAGGTGAAGTAATTAAAAATCTATACCTGGATTCTGATAAATCAAGTTACAGAAGCAACTTTTGAAAACCAATTTTTCAAAGCATAAACCAAATCTGAGTCAAATACTTAAAGATCAAGGTTTGAATGGAGTGCTAACACGGGATACTAAGGACCAGGGCTTCTGTAGGATTTCTTGCTCTATCTGGGACTGTACAAGGGTTCATACCCAGTAAAGTAAATCCTACATCTGTCACAGGAAATTCAGTGGCAGGATGGTTCAGGACTGTTCTTTGCACGCAAACATGTTCTTGTAAGTTAACTGGGCAAGCACATTCTTGATTAATCTGTTTCAAAGCCCCTAGCGGTGTGGTTATGAGTAGAGGAACAAGCCGACTGGTTTGTTGGTTTAGGAAGGGACGCTGGAGCAGGAAATTTAGGTGCGATACATTAAATTGCAGCCTCTTTATGGATTTGAGAGTGCCCATCTGATTAAACAGTAACTTGGACACAGTGAACTTTGAGATCTGAACCCTGCAGCGAGGAAAACACACAGTTGCCACATTTGTTTGGCCAATTCAGATGAGCTCTGCTATGCACAATCTTTAACCTAGCATTTTTTCAGCAGACTGCTGTGTCTGAGAAGAAAAAAACCTTCGCTAGCACAAGGCAGTTGGTGTAAAATCTAGTGGATAGTTATTTTGCACAGAATTAAATGGGAAGTGATTGTGAATGACACAATTTGCTGTTGCAGGCTGTAAAGCCAGATGGGAATGTAATGCAATCCTCCATATGATACAGGCTAAGGACCTTCCCCCAGTGCCGTCTGCCTCCTTCCAGCCATTTGGTCTCTGGGAGACCCAGGGGCAGAAAGCTGCAGGACATACCTAAGCTGGCTGTGTAAATAAAACTTGGATGACTGGCATGACATACCATAGATGTAAAATCACCTGGAGGTCATCTCATTAGACAGCTCTGTTGATGACTTCTTTCTCATTCCCACTGGTGGCGTTTTGTCTAGTTTTGAATTATTAAGCAGTGGTGGGCTTGATTCTGTGCACTGTTGTACCCCCATTAAATCAGGAATTATAACCAGTTTCACTACGATAAAACCAGAACAGTGAGACTGGGGGGTTAGGTGCTTTCTGTCATATCTCTCATCACAGCACAGATTTATTAACCTTTGACTGGCTAAGCTAAAGACATTGACTAGGTCTACCCCTTGGAAAAGTAAGAAGGATTTGCCTGTAATTTTTCATAATATTTGTCCATTTTGTTTTCATTTCGCACTGTACGTTGCTGCTGTTGTTTGCATGGTTCACAGTACCCACTGTCTGACACTCTCCCATTCTCATACTCCTAAATTTCCCATACAAAAAAGGAGAAAAAATGGTAGGAAGAAAATGTGCTAAATATCCAACATTCCTATGAGCCACTTTTAAATGTTTCTGTTCAGTTACTGTCACTTCACAGACAGCCCCATCAGAGTAAATTTTGGGGAGTTGGACAGCAATGGTCTGGCAGCTATTATACCACCAACTATTTCAAAATTGTATCTTGATGAAACATGGTGGCAACTGTGTACATGACCTCTGGTTTTCCTTCAACAACAAAAAAAAGCTGGTGGCAGCCTGAACCATTGTTCTCTTTATTTAAAACAAGTCTTTCAACTGGGAGCCAAAAAAAATGCTTTTCGGTAAAGCTTTGAAAAAATCATAAAAGAAGTCCAGCAGCTTACAAGAATTTTCCATTGCCCAGCTATTCACAAAGTAGAACAGAAATTTTCTGTGTGTTTTGGGTAATCACTAGCTCCTGAACATTGCGCCTTGTCCTGTCAAATGAACTTATGATTAGTAATTCATTTTTTCATTTTTATTGGTGCTTTCAGGCATTTGTAGACTTGGACTCTTCTGATTGTTCCTTTTCTGACAATATACATACATCTCCAATCCCTCTTCATAACGTATATAATTTCTCAGTCTTCATTATTTCTGCTGTCCACCATTCTTTAAAAAATTTTCCAAATGACTTGACATGTGGTACATGTTACATAAACTACTTCTGATGATAACATCAGGAATATGTATCCTCCTTCAGAAATCTCTCACCAGTTCAATTAGGTTTCTAACTTTTAATACAGTGAAAGTATTCGAAAGCAGTGGTGTGGCTCCATCTATATTCTGGCAGCAATGGGCTCTAAATTGGGGATGGTCAGATGAGCAACTTTAGCTATTTTGGTTAGCAAGAGAAGGATGACCTTTCAGGTAAGTATGTGTTAAACAAATGGTGCTTTGAGCCATACCGTCTCAGTACATTTGTGGCATAATATGCTCCGAGCAGGAAATCACAGTGAGCAAGTAGGCTGTTCACACACAGGTACTTTGCAGTTTTCAGTGCTTTTCACAGGGAGTTTATTATATGGCATTAACACAAAAGCCAGGCTGAAACCAACTCGGTTACTTCATTAGCCAAAGTTAGCTTGGCTAGATCTTAAAGAGGCATAGAAAAAAAAATGCGTATTTTGATGATTTCATTCATTCATTCTGTATCATCTCACAGACCTGTATCATGAGAAGGATCCTCAGGTCTGCACTGGGGTCAGACATATACGATTCTTTGAAGATCTGGAGCATGCTGTCTTGTATGCTTAAATCTTGCAGTGGCAAAAGAATCTGGCTAACTGGCTAATATCCCATATTTTTTTATCTTGCCCTTTTGAAAGACAACATTTTGCTGTCTTTTTGATTCTACAGATCTTTCCCAGCTTAAAATTTACTTTGTTTCTAGAGATTCCTAAACTTCTTGATTAGTTCTTTTAAAACTCCCAGATGCATCTCCCCTTAAGTCGACACATATATATTTAGTTTGTTCAGATGTCCTTCCACCATCTTTTGATTCAGTCCTCGTTCCTCCAGCTGAGTGTAGTAATTTTCCTGAATTTTCCTGTAAAAGGTTCTTTGATGTCCTCATTTTCATTACTCATTTTATTGCAAACTGAGCCAAACTGGTATTTAAAATCTTGGTATTTTGTGTAAGTGTGATGTAGTATATTTTGTCTTAATGTAAATATAGCTTCCAAAAACAATTTACATTTTTGCTGTGGTCTTGAATATTAATGAGACTTCTTTTACTCACAAACTGGAGCTGTTTGACAGTCTGGTATTATTTTTATCCAGATTTTTCCAGGAAGTTGGCAACATTATATGCTGGAAAGCGGTTCTTCAGTATCTCTTTCACTGAAATTGGTGGTTCATCAACACTGTCTGTAATTTCTGTTTCGCTTGCACAGCAACAGAATTCAGTATGAATTGCAAATAAAAGGCATCTCAACATTATGCATTTTTTCAGCACATGCAGTTGAATTAACTGTGCTCAATTTTATAATGTTTTCCTATGTTGTAGAAAAATACAAATAATTTAGGCCCTTACCTAAGACTGATCACAAGTTGTCTGAAGTTAAAGGTTTCTACCCTGTTCCAATGTAGTCAAACAACAAGACAACATAGTGTCAAAACATCAATACCAAAACAGATGCTTTGGAAGACAGGATTTTAAAATCATAAAGTGTTAATGTAAAGCATATAAAGCACTTGGGATCAGGCTCTGCCCCAGGTGAAGTCTATAGGTCTGGTAAAAGGAGCAATATGGGGGGCTTCAAAATATGTGCTTTATCTATTCATGTTTGTCTCAACAGACCCGCACGGCTCAGAGCGTAAGACAGAAAGAGCTCAAACTTCTCTTTCAAGAGTCCCAAGGGCTATTTCTATAACCAAGAATAACCAGAGCATAGATAAGCTCTTTATGCTAGGAGCTATGACATAGCTAAAGGCCCCTATTGTTCTGTGCAATCTAGAGAATTTCTCTTGGCTGATAATATTTTCAAGGGAATAATTTCACTTATTAGCCCTCTGTACATCATAGAATTCAAAGTATCTTAATTTACAATGCTGCAACAGGGTCTCTGCTGCACACAATTTAACTATGCAAAACCCACCTGTATCTTTTAGTATATGTATAGAGTATGATATTTTGTAATATAGTCAAGCTACAGTATACCTAAATCTGTAAGATAATGATTATCTTATTGAAACTTTGGTGTTAAAAATACATGCTATTGGCAATGTGCCTAAATACATTAAGCAGCTAGTTGCAAATTTTAGCTCTAAGAAACTCATGGATGATTACTTGGTTTTATTTTCTTAATTGTGTCACTGCCTTAAGTATGCCTGCTTTGCTGCATCCTGGCATATTTTTTTAGAGTATTTTCAGAATGTCTTTGCAGTTCTTCAAGGTGCGAATTTAAACGTTCTTCAAACTCTCTTGTATGTTTCTCTTCCTCTTGAAGGAACTTTTCTGTTGTCACAAGGAAGGATATCTCAGGGGGAGACTGAGCAATGAATAGAAAATCATGGTTAGTAAAAACCAGCAAGCACGACAACGTTTGCATTATCAAATTTCAGATTTGAAAAACGACCTATAGCAGCAAATAACACTATAATGCTTTATAACTCTCCAAGAAAACATGAATTTGGGCATACATTTTTAAAGGCATTCAGGTGCCTAAATGACTTAACGTGAATGTGATGTCTGAATACCTGTGATATTCACAGCATTAGGATGTAGATTTGCCATTAAAAATGTAAATATCCCATTAGACGGAAATAAGCTGCTTCAGAACCTCCAAAATCTTTGCATAAGCTAAAGGATATATTTGTCACTTTTATAATTTAGACCATGACAGAGGACAATAATCTGGGTTTTGGAATTACAGAATATAAGTAGTGCTGGGTATTGCTGACTGTCTCCTGTAATTTTAGCTCTGCTCCTCTGATGTGATGCTTTCCGAGGAAACGAAGAAACCCTGTGCTTTCAGTACTATCAACTTCAGGCCATGATAATTTGGAGAATGTACTAAATATTATTCAAATATAAAGCAAAGGACATGAGTGAGTCTTTGCTGGAACAACTTCTAAATTTTTAAGCAGCAATTTTTATTAATTCTTTCTGATAATACTTAAGATGCATTCATTGGAATGTCTTTATCAAAAGAAAAATGAAATAATTTTTCTTTGCCTAAAGATATTTTGCTTGCTTAAATAAATCCAATGTTTATTTATATAGATAAATACAATTTTATGACATGAATTTTTAACAGTTGCCTGAGAAAAAATTTAGTATAGAAGCTGTAATACTGAGTCAGAGAAAGATAATTCTCTGTCTTTATATGATCATATATTGAGGAAGATGACTGACATTTATTATCTTAATTAAACCATATGTTAAATAGTTTTAATAACTGATTATTAGTCTAGAATCTCTAGTTTTGTTTTTCCTAAACTGTAAAAAGGAGAATTTATCTGTCAGCACATCAAATAGGAATGGCTTAAAATGATTTAAATTTTCAAATGTTTTATGGAAAAGGCCAATTCTATTACACTTGTAAATTTTTATTCTAGGCTTCATCGTATTAGAAGGGGTATTCCCTATTTCCACAGCAACTAGAGTCAGATTTGGTCTTTTTTTTTTCAGCCTGGTTTAAGACTGCCCTTTAGCAGCTTTTCAGGACAAAAGACACTAACTAGAGAAAGGCTTTAAAGCGCTATTCTATTCAAACTCTTTGCAACAGACCTTGAGATGAAGTTTAGAGATTTCCTATAGGTAACCCCTTTTCAAAGTACAGCAAGTAAGCAATAACTGGAAATAAATTCTGAATGTAATACCATCATTCTAAACTGAGACAGGCTTTCTGATGTATAAGGCTCCTAAAATGAAATTCACAGATAAAGCAGAATCTTCCTTTTCTCAATCCCTCCAAATTAGTGTTTTAACAGTGCAGGGAAGAAAAAGTGATGTAATTTGTCATGTAAGAACAAGGAACCCACATGTACTGGAATACTTTGTGCCACAGCATTATTCTGTCAATCCCTGCATTAGTGGGGGTAAGAAAGAATGTTAATCCCCCAATGTTTGAGAAACTTTGGAGGGACATCACTTGCCACCTTCTTTTCCTCATAAACGTATGATTTCCCATCCATAGATCATCTTTGTTTTCATATGAAGAGCTGTTGTTAAGATTCTGAATGCCATGGCTACATGCACATTTATTCCTTCATGGGCTAAATCACAAATATATCTCCTTGTGATATTTGGATTCAGTGATAAAATTGGCAGTAATACTTTGAAGTGTTTGAAGATGCCTTTTATATTATGAAGAAGACACTGGATTTGGAGGCTTTAAAGAATCACCATGTGTTTTTCTTACTGAATATCAGCTCTGAAATCACTGATTCGATACCGAGCAAATAAAATACTTCCAGTGAGAAGTGTAAGAAACTGAGAAAATGTGAATCTGAAAAGAATTTAATAGGTGTCATCACCTAGAGAAAAAAAGTCATGTCAGGCTTTTCCATATGGATAGCAGATTTCTGTGTCTGCTAGTGTTCAAAAATGTTATAGCAAGTTATGAGAGATTCTTGGAGATTCACTATAACAATGTTTACAATTGCTTAGTTGTCATTGGAAACGTTTGCCTCATGATCAAGCTATCTTCCTGAAATGCTTGTGTCCTTGCTTCAACTGGTACTTACTTTGATGTGTTGTTTCTTGACATACACTGCAAGCTCTAAATGAGATCTCCTCAGAGCTGAGAGAAGAATGTTTATCACTTAGAATAAGCAGATCATGGTTTGCTACAGCCCCTTAACTGAGGGTTACATATCACTATCATTTTAGACAGGTCCCTAATGCATTGGGTTTTATGCATTTTCAGAGAAGGTCGTATCTAAACAGGTCTAAAAGGCAACATTTCTTGTTAGCAACTAAGCTTTGCTTTCCAAGCCTCGGGTCTGTTCTTTCACTATGTTCTTTATTGTCTTTACTTGCAGTGGCCAAGGAAGAAAAACCATAAAGTAACTGCTTTAATCCATGTCTCAGATCAGATTCATGGTCTCTAGTTTTTAATTTCTTCCTCAGATAACACTTCTTTTATGTGTTGTGGTTTTCTAACTGAGCTGGATAGATATGGGTTCATTGGTAAGCTTTCAACTTAACTTATTTGGGTAGTTAGGCAACAAGGACTCTATTTTTTCATTTCTACAGTCTCAGCTGATCCCATATTTCCTTGGTGTATACCAGTAATGAGGTTCACCTTTTTGCATCATCATTTGCTGGAAATGAAAGAGTGCACCTGACAGACATGTATATTTCCACATATGAAATACGTCCTAAATATGTCTTCTCCTTAAGCAAGAACAACCCAAAGCGCTTATGAATTAGCTCTGGATTTCTAGGGAGCAGCACCCCAGGAAGCTAGGTCTATTCTCTCTCACAGACTACCTAGTTAATTTGCCTAGAGTTAATCTCTTTCTTGCCCCATGAGTTGTCCCAGCATTCTTGGATGCACCTTCAGCAGGGCAGCAAGAAAGAATATCCCAGCACTTGGGATATTCTAACATTTAGTGGCCAAATCATGAATGGTCAAATCCCAGACTGCTGAAGTCTTCTCATATTTAGCCCCTTCTACTTTCCAGGAAAGTTCTTACAACACCAAGACTAGAAATTGGTCTGGCTAATTTTAGTTTCACTGTGACTAAACCTGGGGGCTTTGGGGAGTAGTTTCCTCTAACCCTACACTGCAATACATCTTAGGTAGCAGGTATAGATGCCTGTCCTCAACACTCTTCTGCTCATGTATGAAAATCAAAATTGAGATGCCTAGGAAATTGCCAAGTGACATAGGAAGGCTTTTCGAGGGCCTAAGTAGCTGAGCAGCTAGATAATAATACCTAAGCATGAGAGGCATGGACCACATCATGGCTCAGGGTAGGATCAAGACTATCAAAATCATTCCTAATAATGCCCAGTGGCAGAATTCTCACAGCTTTCCATTGCAATCTATTTATTAAGCAATTTCTCATCCTTACTGTTAGAAAGTTTCCTAATGCCTAATTTAAATTTTCCTTGCTACCACTTAAGTCTTTCTTGTCTTTCCAAGTCTTGAAAGCAAGAACAGACAATGTCTGTCCATTGTCTGAAGAGAAACATGAGAATGTAGTTGTGACTGAAAGTTAAAGATCCAGATTGGAAAGCACATTGTACATAACTGCTTGCTCCAGCTGAAATGGAGAAATTGTGTAGAAATGGACTACTATGAAGCTGCAAATAATCTTATTGGCTCTTTTGTTTATTTATTTATTTGTTTATTTTCTGAAGCTGGACACTGGATCATTCTATGGAATAGTCTTCCCAGAGAATGGGAATGAATCAGGCAACCATTTTCTGAAATTGTTTATTTCAGAAAGAGAGCACAGCCCAAAGTACTGTTCAGAGAAAAAGTACTTCCCCAGATTTGGAAAGCCTTGAAACAAGAATTTTTGGAGTTATGGGAATTTTCAGTGAATCCCAGCCGCACTTTCTAGTTTACTCTAAGGCAAGAGCGACTTTCTCTACAAATGTAACCTCTAAGTAAGCATGTGAAGGGACAAGCCCTAGAGACTATTTTAACTCTTCCCTACATATAAACAGACTCATTTTGGTAGGTATCCAGACATCATCTATAATTCTGACCTTTTCAACTAGTGCTACAAATATTCTTCAGAAAAATGGCCCCTTATAACACCTTCAGAAGTTTTGAACATACTGGAGATTTCCATTAGGTGACTAAGTATCAGTCCTAAGAACTCTGCTGAAGTACTCTGGTTTACAACATATTTTATGTTTTTTAACTCCTTCTCCTTGATGCAATGGCTTTCCATTTGAAACAGAACGCTACAGTAACAAACTGTTGAATCATCTCTGCACTAAAGCTGTGATATCCAGTGTAAGTCTGAATGATGATTTAATTTTGGTGGTCTTCTGAACTTGTACCTGATTCAGTGCCACTGATTTGGACTCAGACTCTGTAGAAGAAATATCCTTTGATTAACAGTTCCATTATGTACTTTGCCCACACACCAGTTGGAAAGTATTTTCCTTATAATCTAGTCAACTGCCTTGACATTGACCCTGTCCTGAGTGCCAGATGGGAAATAGTTTCCCTGCAGCTTGCTCAAGTATCTCAGAATAGGAATTTTCCCTGGGCTGGCTGGAATCAGAAGCTTTGTGATCTGCTGTCTGTCTGAGACTTCTGACAGAAGAGATGAGGAGAACTGGTGTTAACAGACTCTCCCGAAAAAGTCCAGACAGTTTTTCTCATGATTAGCAGTTTAAAGAGGGAAAACTCCCAAGGTATTAGAAGCCAAAAGTAATTTACTTAAAACTCCTGTGAAGCATAAGAATATAGAATATAGAAACACCCAGGATTATGTAGTTCTCACTGTTCTCTGAGTACTGGGACCCAGCTGCTGGGATCATGGTCAGTGAAGGGCTGCACTGCAATCCCAGCTCCCCAGGCAGGCCATCACTGTGGTGCTCCCTATCTACAGTGAAGTTCTGGAATACAGTGACGGTCTTCCAGCAGCCACGTCTCTGATAGGAAAGGATGTCTGTCCATTTCTGAAGAGGAGAGCAGAACCCGGGTATGACAACCACAAACTGCTTGAAGGTGATTGTTGGTGTCATGATGCCTCTTTGCTCCTACTTAAGGTGATGAGTGGCAAGAAAATTGCCAGTAAATGCTGAAGTCTTCCATCTTCCCCTTCTGCAGGTTTAGCTGTACACCTGCAGTTCAGGATCTCCTGGGTACAAAGACACATGTATCACAGCTGGACAGAGAGATGGCTACAGTCCATTCCTTACTAATCAGTTAGTTCCCTTATTTAATGATGATGTGGTTGCATGGTTTGAGGTCTGGAAAATAAGTGCTAAATTTTCAAGTGGAAAAAAATAGCAGCCTGTAGTGGAGGTCTAAAGAAGAATAGAAGATACTAAGGAAGAGGATAAAGCTCAAATTTAAAGAAAGAACTAAAGCCAAAGTATTATGGGAAGTTTTTCCTAAGAAGTTGCCCTAGGCAAAGTGGGATTTATCCCACTCGTCATGGCGGTTGGTAATCTCCAGCCTATGAAGACTGAAAGAAAGAATGCTGCACTATTACTCTCTCATTTCAAGAAAAATAAGGATTACAGCAGTTATAATTTCTGTTCCTTTTAAAATACAATAGCTAACACATAGAAAATAGTTGCTGCAATTCCTCTAATTTCATCCATCAGTTGAATGCTGTAGAAACTCGATTTGTCTAACAGCACTTAAGGCAGTAAGTTTGCAGGCATTATGGAAATACACTTAAAGCAGAGTGCCCTTACAGAAGGCAATATGAAGCAGGGTGCCCCAGTATAGAAGGCAATGAGCTAAAATACAGAAATCTCTCTCACAGTCACATAATGACAGGTAATTATCACCATCATTATAACAGAGGTATGGCCCAGGAGGGGATGTTTAATCTCCAGAAAAAAATACATTTATGTTAGGATAAGGTATTCCCATTTTTGCTGGGCTGGCACTGTATAAGTAACAAAGACAACAGGGGTGATCTAATTTTTGGCTCCTCCAAGGCTGCATTTGGTCCACAGATGGATTTTCGAGAATATATGTGTTATAGGAAAATAGTTACTTACCGGTAATTTGTTTTCTTCTGCACTGTAAGCAGGGCTCAGTAAGCTGCCTGGTCTGCCCTTTTCAGGAAATGGCCCACCAAAGCCCAAAGGATACCCCATTGGTGGTGACGGAGATTTATAAACTATTTTCTTTTCATGACCTCTGTGAAGAGTATGAGAAGATAAATTGCTATCACTTTTTGAACCCATGATATCGTCTGGGCCATATAAAGCAGGACTACAGTTTCGGTCGTATCCACTGCCTGTGAACACAGCAGTCTGTTGACGTTCCATTTCCCAGGCATCTTTCTTTTGGGAAGTTCTAAAAGAGAAAGCATGTTAAAACTAAGCTATCACAGCAAAGCAAAGGGTTTTTTAGTTTTATTTGTTTGTGCAATTTTGATTACTCAGCTGTTAAAACTGCTTCATGCATGAATTTATGGGCATAAGATTAAGCATTACCAGCGATTTAGCAACTTTCCACCTAAGTTACTCTAAACGTCTAAGTGTGCATTCTATGCCTTCTTCAGCTGTGACTTAATTCACACTAATTTAGACCCTTTTACTGGAGCTTAAGTTGAGTAACCTTGCCATATAATTGTGGCAGGACAAGAGCTAAAACACAAACTCGCTTCAGGTACTGAAGCTACCAATACTCCTTAAGTGTTTGATACCTAACCTTTGCCAGAGGTTATCATCCCTTTAGCTTTTCAGATGAAGAAGCTATGTAAGCACACTTCAGCCATGTTTTGGTAACTTAGCTTATAGTATGATAGGAACTAGTGTGAATTTAGCCACACAAATAGAGGAAATGAAATATGAAAGTGTGAGAAGGGAACAAAACCTGTTATTAGTGGCTGGATAATCAGTCAATTTTGATCTAGTATCACTGTAAACAACTATGTTCAAATAGCTAGATTTTCGAATAAATGTTTAAATAAGTTAAACAAAAAAGTGGTATAGGAATCTTTGATCCTGCATTGTTACTGCAATACTAATTTTGTCACTAATCTAACATACTGGAAATTAATATAAGAAATAAATTTTTAAAATACACTTTTTAAAAAATTGTATAAGAACATGCTTTTGTAACAGTAAGTGACATCTTCAAGCTTACAAAAGAACTTCTAAGTATTTTAGTATAACGTTCTGTAATTCTTGTATCCCACTTACAGTGATCAGAATGTGAAAGCATATATTTGTATTCATTCTGTAGTTCTGTACAGCAAAAACTATTATGGTTAACAGCAACTTTAAAAAAAAAAAGCTATTTTCTTCCCATTCAAAATACCTCCTTTTCCTGATCGTTAACTGAACAATTCTGAAACCATACTGATAAGAGCAGAGAATTTTGAGACTAGCTTGCCCAGATGTCCGCTGAATCAGACTAATTTTCAATTGCATCTTTATTATACTTGTATTACATAACAAAACATGCAAAAACCCCTAAATTATTTCTGGGTTTATTACATTTCTGTTACAGTATTTCTGACTGAGGTAAGAATTTCCATTGTACTGAGGTCTGTGCTTATGATGAAATTTTAGTGTTGGGAGGTAACTACTATACTTAAACATGATAGCATTGAAAAGATCCTATCATTGCAAGTATCATAAAACACTACTAATTTGAAATGCAGCTACAAAAGCTTTCAAAGATCAAGTCCTCTGACATGAAAATAAAATTATTATAAACATGCAATAGTATGCAGTGCTGCTCAGATCCAAGGAAAACTGCTTTTTTAAAAAATTTTTTTGAATAAAAAAGAAGAATTTGTCAGGCATGGGGAAATGCTGCAGAAAGATCACACCATAATTTTCTAATCTTAATTTAAATACTTGGTGTTGGGAGAGTGTGGATGTGCAGTCTTAATGGATCCTGCTGTACATAAGCCCTGAAACATGAAACTAAAGTACTCCATAAATGGACTGCAGAAAAACTCAGAGAACTAATGAAGAACATATTTTTTCTCTGATTATAAAAAAAGTAGTGATTAAGATATTCTGAATGCTACAGGAAAGCAAATCATAATCATGATGTGATAATATTATTATCAGTATAATATTATTATACATTCTAACATAAAACTGAGAATTTTCACCAAACCTTCCAGTTTTCTACATTACCTAAAATGTTCACCTTTATGGGGGCAGAGTTTTCTCTTTTCTTTCATACTTTTCTTTAAATAAATACACTCTGCTCTTTGGTCACAGGAGAATACATTTTTTTCTTTTAAAGTCCATTCTATCTATTGTTTGGATGAAGGGCACAGTGAAAAAAACCTGCCACAATTGAAGATAGATGGCATGAATAAGAAAATCATAGATTTTTTTTTCATCTTGTGTTCTGACCTTTTTGGAAGTAATTTCCTCTGTAAACCCACAGTAAAGTCTATGTGTTCTGTGTCCTTTTTTCCCCCAGAACTACTTCTCTATGTATTTAATAACAGTTATTACTGTTATGTTATAGCTTACTTCCTTAAGACCAGAATCTTCAGACTTGGGTGCCTACAGTTATGGTAGCTTTTAGATAATAAAAACAGATACCCCCCCCACACCCAAAGGACTGATTTTTTAAAGGAACCTCACTTCCTACTGTAATCCATATGATTGCTGAGGCTGTTTGCTATCTTGGAAAAACATGACACCTACACTTAGGTGCTTTGATATGGATGCTATGCCTTCACTTCAGACAGATTTCACAGTTAGGGTTTAAATTTCTGCCAGTTTAGTGCAAAATAATAGCTAAGAACAGAGTTCTACTTTGAATACAAATATAAAGGTAGGCAAATATCTGCAAATTTGTAAAAAACTGTCCATTTGTTAACACTGACAATGCAAATACACTATAACTGCAGATGAATAATATGCTTTCAGCAGGTTTACCATCATAGAGTATTTAACATATACATATACTTTGCAAAAATAATATCAGTTGACATGACGACATATGGGACAAAAAATGAAAGAACGATGTCCTCGCAAAGGGAATTTATATAGACAGGATTGGTTTTTCCAGATTTATATATAAAATCAGCCTAGTCCCTACGCGATCAATGACTTCAGTGGTGCAAACCAAATTCCTTACACAGCTTGTGCTGACTGACATACCTAGTCTTGAGAAAGAAAACAACAGACCTTTAATGACCAGAATATCTTCAGAATTTGTATTGCTGGTTTTATCTTGTAAGTATAACTGCTAGCTTGCTTTTAAAAATTGTTAAAAGGTATTTTTCCTGAAGAGATTGTGTTCACTGCTTCCAGTTTATCTATTGAAATAGCTGATACAGTAGTGAGTATGACTAATAGTGCGTGACCTCCAAAGGGTAGTGAAAACCTCCTTTAGACAGATACTCCACTGTCAGCATGGATGCTTTAAGAGACCCCCAGCTAACTTAGTAGGCATTCAGTCCTAGCCTTTACCCCCTCACTTTTGCCACATGATAAAAGTGCACTTTGGCTTGACCAGTTACCTATGTGGTGTATATTTTTATGGTAAATAAGTACCCTTTCATTTGGGAACTCACATGCATGTTTTAATTTTGAAAAGAACAGGCTAAACATACCAGTTTCATCAGAGGAAGCCCTCTTCGACCATACCAAAATTTAAATGAACTGTATGTAGTCGACTTCTAAATAAAGGATTGAAATCTTGACGGTGGGGAAAGCTTATGTAAACAGCAATTAGAAGTGAGTCAATTATCATATATGAGAACACTAATTAAAGTGGTTATAGGTAGGATGTGGCAACAGTATTTTTTAGCAAAAAAGATGTTACTCCTGTGTATCTTTAGAAATTCACTGTAGACTGCAAGAAAGAAAAAATCATGCTTCTTTCTAATATATCTCCAATATAACTTCCTGCAATTTCCTGTATTTTCTCTAGAGGTCTCCTATCTAACTAATGGCTATGTCCATGCCTAGGATTCTAGTACTTATCATGAGACATGCCTGAAAAATACTAGAGAATATACTTGATTGAAGACATCTTTTTTAAATTGTGCAAACCCTTCTAGGTTTCTGAATGAAAATAGGAAAAACAAAAGTACAGCTTCTGAAAATTACTATTTAAAACACAAACATACCCCTCCTTGCACAAAACCTGCGTTTTCTATTTTCTCCTATGCAAAAAAAGTCTTTTTGCCCTTTCTCCAGTGCCATAATTACCATGGAAACAGAACTGCAAATTAAAACAGAAATAACATGGTTTATACTCACAATAAAATAAAACTCCAGAGTTTAACTCAACCAACATCAATTGCATGGTTTATCTGCATACATTTGATGGTTGAAAATTTAATTTTAGTTTTCTGAGAAAACCTTGAGGTAGCTCCCTGTTTGGTAACAGAGAAATGACAGTACAGAAAGGGCCCAATCTTAAAAAGACTGGCTGGCTGATGTGTATATACAGTACATGTGGAATTTGAACATTTTTCGAAATCTGTGGATGTATTTATTTATCTAAATAGCTTTTCATTTAGGAAATCAAATGCATGTTTTAGATCCTGAAAACCAGGCTCAATGTATCTGTTTCATCAGATTAATTAGAATAATAATTTAAATTATGTTCAGTAATGTGGCTGAGATTTCTGTTGTGAAAAAGGTTAGCTTTCCCAGGTTTCTCTCTCCCAGTTTTGGTTTAACATCTGTCCTCAATGGCTATGAAACCAAAATCCTGCAAATTACCTGCATAGTTCTAATGTCTCATACGCTTAAATTCTCACAAATGAAATTTCACAGTTCCTCATGTACAGCAAGTGTAATTCCTGAGAAAATGGAAAAAAGTCTGACTTTTTCTCACTCAAGAAGAGTGGAAGCATGAGCAAAAATTGCACTGACTAATTTTTTTTCTGAAATTATGAGACCTACAAGTGCAGAATAGCCTGTAATATTGGTCTGTAAATATTTGTTTCAGCAAAGCCTTCAACATAATTTGAAATTTAGTAGCAAAACAGTCACACCTGCCACTTTTATATATATGTGTGTGATGCAGTATGTATATGCACGTATGTGTATGAACATACATACTTATGTTATATATGTACTTACATACACATGAATACTACCTCCAACACTAAACATCATATTTAAAAAGAAATGTTATCAACAATGTAGCTACATACAACTGGATGCCTTTCTGTTTTGCAGAAAGCAAATCACTTTAAATATTGCCATAAAATGATTGTATGAGTTTGAAATCTTAACCTGTATGATTTTTTTCTCCAATTATTTAAACTTTGCTTCACAGAACTGTTTTACATTAGTGCTACCATGTAAATTCTTTATTACAACTGATCAGAGTATTTAGTTTCCTATGAATTTTTACTCTCCTATACTGTGAACTAGTTTAGCAGGGAGTTTAATTTTCTTTTATTACTGCAACGCCATGATTATAACATGTTTGAAGGTAATTCAGTTCTTCACTGAATACAGGGAAATAAGAAGGAAGGCTTCACTACAATGTTTACTATGAGTTTGAGTATTCTTAAGTTTCATTATTTTTCCCTAACAAGGAGTTTATTGTAGTAATGATCTATTCAGGGCATCTGAAATTATGTTTCTTTTAAAAATCTGGTCACCCAAGAACACCAAAACTAGACAAGGCATTAAAATACATTTAATGAAACTTTTAACAAATGAAACTGGCAGGACACAAAGCTTTTCAGCAGGGGTTGTAGTTCAAACTGCTTATTAAGATAACCTCCTGTGGAGCAGTTTACCTTTCATGTAGGTTTTTATATATTTTCCTTGTCTTGATTTTCTTTGGCAGTAAAAATACATTCTTTACTGTTTTGCAAAACCTGGAACTAAGAATAACTTAAGCAGCAGACAAGAAGTTTTTAAAGTTCTTTCATGTGACAAATATTAAAATAATGATCAAACATTTCTGGGACTTCATTTATTGCCAAATGAAGTTAGCCATTCAGAAAAATGTTGGAAATTTTTACAAATATACTAACTAGGTCTGATATTTATGTTGGTGGGAGTTCTGAATTAATAGAAACAGAAAAAAAGCTTAACAGTTTGGCCCAGTTAGATGCTTCCAAAAAAATTACAGGAAGTTTCATATATGTGTGCAGTATAAATATTACCTCTCTTCCTTTTCTTGTATCTTTGTATGGGTTTGGTAGCTGTGCTTTGTTTCTCCATATGTATCCAGGCGACCCAGTATCAATGTTTCTGTGTCATTTTGTAGTTTAACATGACTGTTTTGTACTCTTATATTCTCATGTTCTAGTTTGTGAATGGAAGCTGTGAAATTTCCATGTTCTTTGTTAGATAAATCTATACTCTGTGAAAGGAGATAAAACCATCATTAAATACTTATTTCTTCCACAATAAATGGATGTTAGTATTTTTAACAAATACAAAACAATGTTCTATGCTAAAGAAAACTTAACTACCGTATATAATCATGCAGCACTTATAGCAAACCAAGAGAATTGCCTCCAGAAAAACACAGCACTGTAGATAAATGGAAAAGAAGGGATAATAGCCTCTATAACACAATAAAACAAATTAAAATTTCTCAACAAACATGCATTCAAAATATTATTGTTGTAAATTCATTGCTTGCTTTGTAAAACTTATGACATAAAAGCAGCCATAACAGCTATAGCTGCAGACTGTATTGCTCCCTCCAGTAACAATTCCACCAAAAATAACAAGAAAAATTATATAAGTTCATTACTATACTAGATACAGGGTATGTCTACAGGCAGAATTTAATATCTGTGTCAAGATACAGTCACCTTCAGTTTCAGAAGCAATAAAGCCACATTAGCACAGTGCTCTTCATCCGTGTTACTAAACTTTGCTTCTCAGTTGGGTTAGCCCACATGGTATACAAGTCAAAATTCTGAAAGTGCAAGTAACACATGCACTGTGAGCGGGGCTAAAGAGGCCCATCCACTAGATCAAAAGAAGATGGAGATTATCTCTGGAAGCTGACTAGCCAGGATACCCCATTCCTTCTTTGTCCTATCATTTATTCCATAAAGCCTATGCTGAACACCTCAGGTAGTTAATTTGAAACTACTCTGCAGAATTCTGCCATGGCATTGTGTAAATATATATAAATAACACTAGACTGTCATCAACAGAAAATTATCAAAAGATTTATCAGATTACACATAAAAGACTAAAAACGCATACATTTTATTAAGTTGTACTTTCATATCTTAGTACACTGCTAGCACAATTGGGGTCCTGCACCTGAAAGCTTGTCTATCCCTTGCAATAACTGGTCTGATGCTATCTCTCCCTATAAATCTTGCCTTGCTTTGCTAGTTTTAGGGGAATTTACGGCCAAGCCGGCATGGAAGTGCCAGAAATTATAAAAAAATTTAATACCTTGTTCAAGGATGGGTGGCAGGGTCTCAGTTATGTCTCCCAAGCAGAGCGGAGTTGCAGAACAGAGGAAGAAGGAGAGTGCTAAGTTACCCTACCACTAATAGCTCTAGAATCAGCAGTACAGCTGTAATGGCATGAACCCCAAAACTGAGCTGGCATAGCTACATTGTTTTTGAAATCTGAACAGGTAACCCTGCCTGCTGATGCATTACACAATACTGACTTAGGCTGGCACTAGTTTGAGGGGTCTGTGTAGCGCTGTACAAACACATTCATAAAAATCTGTCCAGTCCCTGCAATCTTAGTATCAAATATCTCACAATCTGTAATGTTTAGATTCTCACAATACACTAGTAAAGTAGGAAAGAATTATTAAGTCCAAAAATGCACAAACATGTGTAGTGACCTTGGTGTACCTGTCAGACAGCATGTCAGACAGCTCTTCTCAATCTTCATGAAGAATATCACTGTAGAGAAGAGCTAGACATGCATGCACACATCCATCTATGTTTCCACAATAATATATCATATATACACATATATCCTTAATAGTGTATATGTATGTATATATAATGCATCACTGATAGACATATATGTGATTTTAAGGGTGTGGAAAAAAGTGACATTCTTTCATGCATTTACCAGTCTACAGTAAGACAATTAACAGGCTACAAATCCCCCCAAGATGTATTTACAACAATATTTACAAGCAACATTCCAGTGGTTGTTCTAGTGATAGATACAATGACTGCAGATGTTCTGTAAGCAGGGAATGTTTTGAAGCTTTTTGTGGAAGGCAGCATATATAATATTTATTATATCCATATAAACTATAGTTCTACAAGATATTATGGCACACTTTTTATGAATTAAACTTTAAATATCCTCTGGTTGGACAGAAATAAATACTAAACTCTGAAACTAAGTCGGGTGGGGGCAAAATGTGTCAGTTGTTTGCAATGTTATTTAAATATTATATGAACAAAGGGGTAAACCAGTTAAAAATGGGCATATTTTTGTATCTGTGAGAATGACTGTTTAAAAATGAGAATTTTCTGAAATAAGTGATGTCACTTACAGAAAATAGGCTTCAGAAACTGTTTAGTGTCTAGACAGTTACTGAAAAATTTAGCTTAATTCTAGTTTACTACAATTAAGGTCAAAATTATTCCTAGCTATACCCATCTTCAGAATGTGTGTGAATAACACTTGGTTTTGATTCTGTTACACACCTTATTTTTACTTATTTATTTTTACTCAAGCCAGAAATCTCTAAATCTGCCATGATCTCAATCCACATTTACTATAAATATAAGTAACTGTTCTGCATATTGCATAGATTAAAAAAAATGACTCTGCAACTTCTACACTCCTGGTTTTCATTATCTCTTTTAGATGTGTGTTTCCAGATTTGATAACTTTGTATTGGAAATCAAACAACCAGGAGAAGATTCAATTCTTAGTTAAATACAAGGATATTACTGTTAATTTGAAATAACGAGTATAGATATTTGTAAGTTTAATTTTACAAAATATACATAACTATAAAACTAGCTATAATATTTTTTTTAAAAAATACAGCAATACTTCAGGAGAAAGAAATCTTAAACCATCTATAAAAGATACATAAATGCAATACCTCTGTATTTATTTACCTTTTTGGAAGAAGTAATCCCTTAGGAAAATAAGGGAGTTCACATGTAGTTACAAGATACTGCGGGACAGATTTTGCAGGCCACTGAAACTGGATGAAATCCTAGTCATGAAGCCTAGGAACAACACTCACTGTTTTAGTGATGTGATAGCGAATATGGCCTGTGAGTGCCACACAGTAAAGATGTCTCTCATTTTCCCAAACACTTAACTTTTCTATTGTCCAAAGTATAGTATTACATTAATCACAATTTTCAGTATGCAGTGACCCTCTCAGAAAACCCAGAAACCTCTAAATATGAACATTCTTTTGGTTTACAAAGCTACGTGATCAAGAGAACATTATTTGTTCTTACAACTGAAATTTGCCATTAAAACACTAGTATCTTACAGTTTTCAGCTTTGAAATTACTGGTATTTTCTAAGCAGATTTGTAACATTCTTCAAAAAGCTTTAAAAAACCCTGAAAAATTAGGAAACGTTCTAAGTAATCTAATAAATGGTTCTAATGATAGAGCACATATAATAGTAACAAACTGGAGGTTTTGAAGACCTTTTGTATGTTAAAATTGTAACTACATTTGATGGTCTGAATGAATTGTAATTTAGATGTACAGTTGACATTTACTAGTGCTTTCTTGTTCCAGTATCAATTTGGCTGCTTTAGTAATACTTCACAGATATTACAGCACTGCTGATGAAAACTACTGCAAGAAATGTAATGTCTTTTTTCACCTATAATGTATGTCATTATCAACAGTGTGGAGTAAAATGATCTAGGCTGGTTTTGCCTGCTTGCATACCTGTTGTTTTGCTAACAATTTGTCTTTTATCTCTAACTCCATTTTTAACTGTCTTTCCAGAAGACTAGCTTTCTCCATGATAGTTGCTATAGTGATCTCCTTCTGATGAAGCTCTTCTGTCAGGTCAGAGATTTCTGTCTTCATTCTTTCCTGCTCAGAGCAATGGGACTGCTCCTCCTCTTGATAAACATGGTTTCTTATCTGTAGCAAATATGTATCAAAATGAAAAAATGTTGTGCAATAAATATGATTGCATCACTTGCTACCTATCAATGACTTTTTTTGCTGTTGCTTCCAAGACACCAACTCCTCTAACCAAGTCAGAGATTTTTGAGATTGTATAATAAAATGCTTTCATGAGTCAGCACACATAGTTTTATTTATTTTTACATCTTTTTCAACCCTTCTCTGGTGCTTTCATTTGCCTATTTAGTATTAGAAATGAACAAAATACAAGGCATTTAAATTAACATTTTTAAAAGAATGTAAGAAAAATAATGTTAATTTTAAGAATTGGAATGTATGGCAAAGAATATCCAAGGAAATACCCATTCAGTAAAGCTAAGTATGATTTATTTATATTGCTCCTAAGTTAATTTAGGTTTGAAATAAGTTTAATGCAGCCTAAATTAACTTAGGAGCAACATAAATAAATCAATTTAGAGACTATTTAAGGAGAAACTATGTTAGAAATAAAGAGTAGATATGGTAAATTACTTCATGAGAATTATTCCTGCTATTATATATAAAATTTAAGGTCAAACTTTCTGCACTATCTCCTGTTCAGAGTTCTCCAAAGAATCAACACAAAGATTGTTTTCATAATCTTTCTACTATAACCAACAGTTTAGTACTGATAGATTTTTTATTATGTAAGAAACAAAACTAAAAAAACAGCATAACAACCTTCGAACCCATTTTAATAGTTTCTCCCAGTACTGTACACAGTCAGTAACAGATGGCATTTCATTTTTATTTATTCAAACCACATAGAAATACTAGAATTGTAAACAAATAGATGTAGATGTAAAAAACCTAAGAGCTACATCATGACTATCATGCCAAACTTGCTGCATCCAAGTCAGCTGCATCCAATTAGAGATATTCCTGCTTACATTGCTGCTCAGCGAAACCACAACATGCCTGTAAGAGTTCTGAGCATCCTTTACTCCCAAAGTGTTTTGGCCTGCCAAGCCATATGCCACTCCACAGTGCCATGCCACTACTGCCTGCACACAGCACTTCTGAAATGTGCAATGCAATGTGATGATGCATAGTTCAAACAAAAGAGCACTGCCCTACACTGTGCAGCAGAGGACCAATAATCTGAAGTTTAACCTTGTGTGGGTAGCTGCCACAGGGACCCATATCAGTTGATCTGTTAGCATATCTTACACCTGAGACCACTGAAAACTACTTACCTCCTATAGCCTATTAACTACTCATAGCCTTGGAGGATTTGTTATTTGCAAGGTTTTACCTGAATCACAGCGATGCTTAGGTGTGGTCTCTTTCATTATTTCAATGAAGTAGCTAACTGTTGTTAGTGCACAGAATCAGAGTTTTACAGCTATACAACTACCTCCAGAAATGCAACCATATATGAAAACTTCATACTCTCCTAAAGCCACAATTTATCCTCCTGCTTTCTCCTGCATATGAATATACCCAAGGTCAGTACTCTGCTCTTTTTAAAATCACATATTTCAGCTAAGATCTGGAAATACATAACAATATGAAATACCTTGTTTAGCTCTTCTTGTTGGTGTTCTTGACTTTGTGCCAACAGTAATAACTCAGTGCTTTTATTTTCTAGTTGCTCAGTAAGATGTACACAAGATGATTGATGCCTTTAAATAAGAAATAAACAAAACATGAAACAAGCAGAACATTTGATGACCTTTACCTTACAGTATCCTCTCCTCAGTGTAAAACACCTTCTTGCTGATGAAAAAGCCCAAACAAGTTAAAGATTTGGCCTAAACCAGGTTTGATCTTGGAAAGTATCTATAGAGATTAAGGACAATGCAAGTGTGTGCAGAAAGAATCCTGAAATCTCTTGTAGGTTAGTATTTCATATAATCTCAAATAGCTATGGTAGATTAGATAAACCATAAAAAGATGAACATTTAACTCAAAAGACGTTAGGGAGAATCTTAATTGCAGTACCTCCAAAGTGTTTTAATGTTGAGAGAAGGAAAGGCACTGTAAACATATAAATAGAAATGAATGAAATGCATTGATTTGTAAAGATCTAAGCATCATTAAAGCCTTTAACAGAGCCTGCATCTATTGCCTGCAATCTTGGCATAGATAATTGGTAATGAAAATGTTTATTCAAAAATTTAGAATCTGACATTTGAATCCAGAGTATCTTTTTAAACAGACTTAATTTAAATCAAATGTAAGAAAAGTTATTAGCTCAGAAGTACTTGTTAATTTAAATATTGTCTTCAACATACATACTTTATTTTATTTTCCTGCATATCAGTATACTCTCTGAGTTTCAATAATTCTGTGTGCAACTGCTGGCATTCCAGTTGTAACCTTCTCCAGAGAGCATCCCGTGAGTGCAGCTCCCTTCTCATTTCCAAAAAGCCTGCCTCCATCTTCTAAAGAAACAAGCAAATATGTAAATAGTTAAATAAAATGAGGCAGGAGTAGCTCAAAATGCTGTATTTTAACACATAATTTTTGATACCTGTATAACTTGTATGAAAGGATGCTTTTATTTTGAGTTTAATTGATTTCATGTTAGTTCCTTTCTCCAGAAATGTCACCTAAAAAATCAGATGCTGAATATTCTTTAGCTCTGCAACGTTCCAATGCATCTGTCTGAAACTATCATAGGAACCGTCATTCAGAAGTTCTTTACTGCACTAAATACATCTAAAAGACATAGTCTGCTTTTTTCAGCAGGTTCAGTATCCTAGAACATGTTCACATGCTGGAACCAGTGCTGTAAGTACTCTTGCATTTTCTGTTTTCCTAACAGCATTTCCAAATTTGTAAGTTTGAAAAGTACAAGACTATAGAAAGGAAGGATTAGGTGCATGTCTTCATTAAACATTGCCTGGAAGTTTGGAGCAGATACATCTAGACTTAAGTACTTAAGTAAGTTTTGTGCTCAATCACCTCCAAAACTAGTTCTATCTGCATGGAACTAACTGGTTATTTAAATTAATATGACAACATTTTAAGCAATCACAAAAATATTATTCTTAGGGAATCCACAAATCTTGTCTTTATTTTACCTTTAATTTCTGATTGATATGATAGCCAACCTGAAGATACATGTTATATTTGGCAACATAAAATCTCTATTCCTCAAAAAATCAGGATTCCCCCAAAATATACTGAAAATGTACTAAAGATAAGAACTTGGAAATATAACCCACAAATAACAAAAGTAGGAATAATAATCAGATTCTTGTAATAATAATATCCAGAGAATATTTATTGCTTCTTACCCAAGATCCAAAAGCATGTTCCGGATTAAAGAAAAAGGATTTTCCAAGGATGTTGATCCTTTGCCATTAAAACTATTACACTAAACCCACTAATATTTTTCATAATTTCTTCGTTTTATTTTAATATAGTTTCCACGTTTAAAAGCAAAAATAAAGCCTTTAAACTTTCAAAAGACAACTGGAATCCAGAAAAGACACTGCAAGCAAGGAACTTCAAAGGTTTATTTCCCTTAGAGCCTCATATGAGAATGACCTTCCTTCCAAGAAGCCTGTGGTTTTCCTCTGGCTGAAAGGCCTGCTGAAGACAGATATGAAGCATTTTTGCGTTTTTATAGGGGCTGCGTATATACATTCGTTCATCTTAGCCTTTGTTAAATTAAGGCTGAGAGCGCTTTTTTAAACTTTGAAATGCAAGTCTGGCCATATTGAAGTCAAATAAAGCTTAATGAACTGGTAAAATTGTCTGCAAGACTTGCTTATGATCATCTTCATGACTGCAACTTTCAAGAAATAGCCACAATTATTTTATAATATATGAATTTGGGGGAGGGTTACCCCTCTGATTTCATTCTGCGTGGATAAGGGGAATGAATGCTGCACAAATGTGTGGTAGAAGTCATATCATCTGTGGCAGACTGCAGTCATCATACATATTTACATAAATTGTATTTTCTTCTGTGAATTATAATAGCAGGAACAACAGCAGCCACAGCAGCAGCCGCAATGAAAATTGAAACAGAACTTCAGGTCAAGAGTTTCACACATTACTTCAAAAAAATCATCTAGATATGTACCACTTATTATTTTAGGAAATATCTATTTCATCTAGTTAAAACACCAAAATGAAAATTAATTTTGAACCAGAAAGCTTTAGGTTCTGTTTAGAAAATAACTAATGAAATAAAACTTTTTAAAAAGTCTGTTTCAAGTTGAAAAATTTACCAAATGCTCTCTTCTGTGAAAAGTTTTGCTTCAACTACCTTGCCATGTTTGATATCAAGAGGAAGTCTCAAAAATTTCCTGAGCAGCTCCTGTTCTAATTCTACTCAAAGGTGTTTGTGGTGGGTTGACCCTGGCTGGATGCCAGCTGCCCACCAAAGCTGCTCTATCACTCACCTCTTCAACTGGACAGGGGAGAAAAAAGTGTAACAACAGGCTCATGGGTTGAGATAAGGATGGGGAAAGATCACTCATCAGTTACCAGCACAGGCACAACAGACTCAACTCGGGGAAATTAAATTATTGCTAATCAAATCAGAGCAGGATAATGACAAATAAAACCTAAATCTTAAAACACCTTCCCCAAGTGACTCCCTTCTTCCTGGGCTCAACTTCAGTCCTGATTTCAATACCTCCCCCGCACTGAGCGGCACAAGGGGATGGGGAATGGGGGTTGCAGTTGAAGTGCTAGGGCTTGGACAACTGGCCCAAGCCAGAGCTAACCTATAGATGAATCCTGTATATTTTATAACTGGTAACCATTGTGTTAATAGGTATTTTACTAAGTTACCTATTCTGATGTAAAAGGTGGAAGTACTGAAGCCTGAGCAACAGGCCCCGAACCAAAACTGCTAACTCAGTATGTAATCATTAGTGAAATCTGTATGGAAATTATAGCTATCTTGAATGTATATTTATCTTTCTTTATGTGTGGATAAAATAACAGGGTCGTGGAGACCATAGTCCGTCCCTGTGGCCTGATGTAAGACCTTGCGTATAATCCAATTAGATAAGCAGGGAAACTCCCTTAGCTTCTCCCTTGAGCCCTGGCCAGGCTCTGGGGGAATCTAATGTGAGACTGAAACCAGATATTTCCGCTCAAAACAAAGGTACCAGCTATTCTGGCTTGTCGATCTCTAGTGTATAAGGCTGGGCCCGCTCACAGCGACTTTGGCAGCCTCACCTCTGGGTGGACGCACACGCAGGATTTCCCCCTTGCCGGGACAGGCTCCCCAACCCCTCGCTGTAACCGGGGCTGCCCAGCCACTGCGGGGCTGGGTGATGGCAACGTCTGCAAGGGGTGAGGGATCTTTCTTAATCACTGTTCTCTCTCTTGTGTAGTAATGATTTGATGCATTACACAGTATTTTCCTATTTGTTTAAGCACACTGTTCTGCCTTTTCTTACTGTATGTTTTCTGTATTATTCTATTACATTATTTAGTTATTTTAAGTAAAATACGCCTGCTCTTTTCACTCTGGTGTCTGAGTTTAATTGGTATCCCTAATCAGCAAAACAGCAGTCAGTTCATTGCACATTGTCTCTGCCACCGCTTTCTCCTCAGGGGAGGACTCCTCACACTCTTTCCCTGCTTGTAAGAGTCGGTCAGAAGATGAGCATTGTCTCAACATTGTCATCAGGGACATGGACAGTGAGGTACCCGACAATGGCCTGCTTGGAACAGTTGCTGATCCCTGGAGTGGAATGTGGTGCAAAGGCTCCTGAATGCAGAACTGTGCGGCACAGCCAGTGCTGGGCTGTTCTCCTGAGCACTGACCCGCGTGGTGCAGGCAGTGCTGGGCTGTTCTGCAGTGCCTGAGCCGTGCAGTACAGAGTGCTGGGCTATTATTCCGTGCCTGGGCCTAGCCAGAGCTGGTAGAGATAATTGCATAGCCACTATCAGAAAAGATGGATCGCAACTGTTGCCATAACATTGATGAAGAAATCAGGAACCTTAGACGAATTTTGCTTCATTATAATAACAAAACACAGCTCCTGGTTGAAGGCTGCCCACCTCCAAGACTAACCACGCCTCGGACGCTCCCCGCTGGGAATGTGCAATGGCCTCGCTCGAGAACAGTGGAGACCCCTGAGGCGGAGGTGGAGCAAGGTGTGTTACTGAGCATGAAAGGATGATTTATGGACAATGAAAATTGGAAACTTCCCCACCAAGGACCACAACAATCGACGACGCAGCATCAGCTGGGCCCCGGACCATTAGGACACCGTGAGATCAGTGGCGGTAGCTATAACCTCTCTCCCTCCTCTCTCTAAACTTTACTTTTCTCCTTTCTTATACAGTTTCTTCACCGTTTGATTACTGCTATCGCCTTTGGTGTTGGTCATCTTAATTTTGCACTTTCAAGATCATAGCAAACAAACCATCACGAGTCCACCAAGTGGACTGTGACACTGCTCCAGCGTGGGCTCCCTCCCACGGGGGACAGTTCTCCATGAACTTCTCTACCATGAGTCTGTCCCACAGGCTGCAGTTCCTCATGAAATGCTCCAGCGTGGGTCCCTCCCAGGGGTGCAGCCCTTCAGGCACAGGCTGCTCCAGCGTGGGTCCCCCACGGGGTCACAAGTCCTGCCAGCAAACCTGCTCCAGCGGGGGCTCCTCTCCCCACAGGGCCACAGGTCCTGCCAGGAGCCTGCTCCAGCGTGGGCTCCCCACGGGGTCACAGCCTCCTTCGGGCACCCACCTGCTCCGGTGTGGGCTCCTCCCCGGGCTGCAGGTGGGTCTCTGCTCCCCCGTGGAGCTCCATGGGTGCCGGGCACAGCTGCCTCCCCATGGGCTGCCCCACGGGCTGCAGGGGAACCTCTGCTCTGGGCCTGGAGCACCTCCTGCCCCTCCTCCTGCACTGACATGGGGGGCTGCTGAGTTGTTTCTATCACATATTCTCACTTCTCTCTCTGGTTGAAATTGCATGGAGGTTTTTTCCTTCTTATATATGTTATCCCAAAGGTGCTACCACCGTCACAGATGGGCTCAGCCTTGGCCAGTGGTGGGTCCATCTTGGAGCCAGCTGGCATTGGCTCTGTCAGACAGGGGTGGAGTCTCTAGCAGCTTCTCACAGAAGCCACCCCTGTAGCGCCCCCGCTACCAAAACCTTGCCACACAAACCAAATACACTGTTCAACCTTTTAAATAAAAATATATGCTGTATTTCTGTGTAAAATAGTGTCCAGCAGGTGATTTAATGAAGACTTTCTAAGAAGCAAACCTCTTGTGTGATGTTTTGAGGCTGCCTCTCATGTATGGCTGCAATTAAGTTTGTCAGACAATTCATAATGTCGAGAAATAGACTGCAATCTCCATTTGGATCTTCTAAAATTTGTATTTCCTGTAGAGCCAACAAATTGGTCTTCTTCACTTTATCACTGTTTCCTTGCAAATTAATAGTATGAGAGAAACGAGGCAGACATGAAATGGTCATAGGCATATAAAATATATGAGGCACAATACTAGGCTTGCTGCCATTGTTATCAGCCTTCTCCCCACCAAGATTCCCATCTACTTCTCCCTCCTTTACCCACACATCAGGTCCAACTATTCCCATCCTCCACCTAGCACTCCTTCAGGCAAACCTTCTTACTTCTTCTGACTTTGCACTTCCTTCTTTCTCATACAGATATTCCTAAAATAATATTTTCTCCAAGCAACATGTTTTCACCATACATTGAATTTACCTCAGTGTTTTCCTTCTGCAGCCATTTGCAAATGTGGCTTTTCTAACACAGCAGAATTCCATACCACCAGCATTTATTCTGCAACTTTCTACCCTTTAGTTGATAATGTTATGTACATCTAGCTCCACTTCCACTTGAAGTGTTGTCAGTGCTTCCTACAGCTCATGTATTCTATTCACATGATTCTAAAAATCCTCTTGCTTGAAGATTTTGTTATAGGCTACAGCACAGTAAGATGTACTTTCTCCGTTGTACAGCATCTGTCCACTTGTTCCAGTCACCATGATTTGTCCCACCCTGTATTCTAGTCACTACTTTTGATGGCAGCCTTCTTAACAGGCCCCAAACCAGAGGTTTTTTGCTTGCATACCGGTAACGTGGATACAGGCAAATGACTCAGTGAATTAATGTGCAAATTAAATATATAAACATTACACGTGATGTTTATATCGTTATACACGATAAATGTATAAACATCAAACTTGGCTGTTCTGACACCACCTGAAATTTATATCTCCACTACATATACATTAATTCCTATAAAGTATATTGCATATGAAGTTATAACTGCAAGGTTGTCTATAAACAGAAATAGATTATCTTTTCCCAGAAAGAGTTGAATTTACTATAGGCCACTCAATATATAACTGAACCTTGAAGTGCTTAAAGAAGCAAAAGCACAATTTATATATGTTACCAGAAAAAAATAGCAACGTGAATCTCATTCTTGATCTGTTTCAAACATAGCTAATAAAAAAAGGCTGTAAAGATCTTCTATTATCTCAATCTTGTCAGAACTCATATATCACGACCAGAAGAAGAGGCCCAAATGGTTGTCTTCATAAATCAGTGATACGTTGAAAACCGGTAAACTAGAGATAAGATAAAAACTGATGGTTCTTCACATGCCTGGCAACTTAAAAATTCATTGACTGCAAAATCTTCTCTCAACAGTAATAAAGTATACCATACACTTTTCTATATACTTATTTACTAGCTATATGGCACAGTGTACAACAAGGTGTAAATCAGATAAAGAGATTTCATAGAAGTCATTTATACAGAAGTGAACTAGGCTAAGTGTCTGTAGATAGTACAGATATAGGAAAGTTATAAAACCCTAGATAATCTGACAAGAATAAAATATACTACTACATATCAAACATATTTTTGTTTTCGCTTTGTTACTCAAAAAATTGTACTGTTCAAAGCTCATATTGTGTTTCTGCAAAGAATATACCCAATGTACAGATCTTTTATATAGGCATCTCAGTACAACTTTTAGAAGTATACTCCTAAGCAGTGAATTCTCCAACATTAATTCCACAGTCATCATGAAAAACGGTTACTACCTGGCACTGGTTTTGATACATTTTTAGATCCTCCCGGAGCTTCAGATTTTCCTCTTCTAGTTTATTCTTGTTTATTACTATTTCACTGACAGTTGCCTTTAGGTTTTCAATAAACAAATCATCCTTTTCACTTTCAGTCTGGCCACAGGTCACCTCTTCTTGGTGTTTCTTACTGCTTATTTGGAATTGATAATTATGGGTCTGTTTCTATAAAATAAGAAAATATTTTAAATGAAATTCAATAATTATATGTAAATTGCTAGGACCAAACCATTACTACTAAAATAAAGCTATTTGCATCTTCACCAGGATTTGCTTAGAAAAGATGGCACAATTGGAACAGTTTGCATTACTTCTCTGAAGGATATTTCCTTTATTTTAGTTTCATGTTCCTTATAAAAAAAAAGTTTCAGAAACTTTCAAGGGCATATAATTCTTTCAAGGATTTTTATTCTCTACTGTGTATTTCCCTAGCACTTAATGTTAATTAGCCTCAAATGTGAAAAAGGTGAGTATGATGACCTACTCAAAGCAGTTACCTATAAAAAATAATTTGAGAGAAATGTTCTTCTCTGATTCACTGAACTTAGTAGGAGTTGTGTGTGTGTGTGCCTCAGGATAGATATTAACCTTTGACTAGAGGGCTAGCATTACATAGTTCATGTATAAACAGCTCAGCTACTACAGGAACTGTGCTTCTTTGATACCATTATCCTTAAACTTGGGGAAGAATCATTTGCACATTCTGCAGAGCTCCATACTCCACTCAGTTTGTTGTACTAACTAAAATCCTAAACCCAAAACTTCAGAAAATTGGTACTGCCACTATTTGTGAATTCAGAGGCATTGTGAAGAAGCATAATTACTATGGTAACTGTTTTTGCTGTTTAAAAAACTATCCACATGGATCCCTCTACTGGGAGATTAGCAAGCAGCAGTAATCTTTCAGAAGACTGAGAATTACCTGAAAAATGACAACAAAATATAACCTGGAAACAATATATCATGTGCAGAGATCAAGTTGAGCAAGGAAATGTATATTAAAAATAAATAGGATTACAAATACCATATTTCATTGACCAGGACTGCAAAAAGGCATGCTTTAGACAGCTTTTGATGTCATTAACTATATTCCCATAATTTGTGTTGGCTGAATACCTAAGTAGAACTGACCACTGGCTGCATATCAAATAAAAAGACAGAAATTTGCAAGTAAGTTTCATTTCTATAGATAATAAATTAAGGTTCCCTTGACATCTAAGTTATGGAGTCTGACATACCAAAATGTCAAAGCATTCTGTGAAAAATATAGTGCAAGACCCCATCTGGAAATCAAAGAGTTCACAAAAGAGGAATCTGAGACAAAGACACACGACCAAGTAATGCTTTTGAAACAGTTAAGGGGTAACAGTCCATCAGACTTCTGTTTAGTAGTCAGCATTATGTTACAGTTATGAAGAAAATAGTCTTCAAAGAAAGTTCTCTGATGGCAGTGAAAGCCTCAGTAAAAAATGTGGATGATCACCTTGAATATTTTGATTTATCTAACTATATAATCAACGTGCATCAGTCAGTAGTTTTGTCTAGTCAGAGCCTTGCTTTTTTTAGCACATTTGTATGGAAGTTCAATAGATGTAATATAATGCTTTCAGCACCTAAACCCAAAACTTAACTGTCATCTTTGGAAACTCTGGATATGGAAAAGAGTCTTATAGGAATTCTTAAGAAAATATTTCACTACATTAAGATCCAATGAGTTTAGTAATGGTGGAAAAGGGGATTACCAGTCAGCAACGTAACTGGCTTCCCCTTAATTTTCGAGCTGTCTTGTGGCCCAGTTAATTTGTAAGTTATTTTCTAACACATTTTAGAGCAGGATATGTCATCAAGACATCACTAAATATTTTGTTCTGGATTGGAGGGAATTAAAAGATGCTAGATCAATGGGCTATATAAAAAAAGTAATAAGCAAATTGGCAAGTAAAACACAATGACAAAGTCAACCAAGGACTGAATGGCAACTTGAAAGCTGAAAAATATGATAAAAAATAAGTGATTCAACAAACAACTCCAAGTGTGATTTTGGAGTAGCATATAGAAATTCATTTTTCTGCACAAATTATATGAATGTATATTTATGATCTTCAAATATAATGGCAGGTACTACTTACTTGATGAGATACTTTGCAAAAACTTGTCATTACAATTAATTGCATATTAGTAAATAGCACAGACGATAAAAGTATCTCCACAGTATACTTAAAAAGAAAAAAGGAACATGTACTGGTTTTTGCAGGTTTTTTAAAATCAGAAATATTGTAATTTTCATCATGATACTTATTCAGTTTCTCACTTTCATAAGAAAAATAAAATAAGTATATGCGTCATTAGATCTTTCAGTATGGGTCTGCCTTACCTAAAGCAATGTATTCACTACCAATATATCCATGTATTGGCAGATTCACTATAAGCTTAGTGGTGTTCAGATTTTTTAAATGAAATTAAAATAACGCCAGCTGGGCTAACAGCTTTTCTTCCTAAAACAGGATGATAGGAATTTTACCTGAAATAAATTACATTTCTCAGCCAATAATTTTTGTTGAGCATCCAAATAAACAAGATAATTTTGGCAGATTGTCCCCTTCTTATCCCATTCTCTTGATTTTGCCTTAAATTCCTGAAAGACAGCAAAACAAGGCCAGTAAACACAGGGAAAATAACTTTTTTCCTTACTCTAAATAACTTTGTAATTGGTATCATTCTAAGAAAAATCTAGTTTTTAATGAATACAAAATCTTTCCCCAATTCTGGAAAGAAGAAAAAAAGAACAATGATATAAACCAACCATCCAGTCATCCTCAACAGAAAAAATTCAGTCTTAAGGCCTGCTGATCTGGAAAAAATGGGTGGTAAACATTATCATTGAATAAAAATGATAAAATATTTTAAGTCACTTCCACTGCTGAAGATCTTAGAGTTATGACTACAATGCACCCATCTACTGGAGCGTAGTTCCTGTGACTTTAAAGCTGTATCAGTGTCAAGTAGAGTAATCAGCAGGGAATCAAACCCTTAATATTCAGACACCTGTTTTGAGTGCTTGCTTTTTCCTTTTTTTTTTTTTTTTTTTTTTTTTACTTCCCGTTTTTTTTACAATTGCTGCTTCTGGTTCGGAGTTCACCTGGTTTAAACAAAAACTTGTTTAACAAATTCTATTGTATCAATTTATCTGTTTTTTTATTTGCCCTTATATTCCCATTTATGGTGTATCTTAATTTGCTCTTAAATCACACCAGGTCTCATATGTTCACAACTAGACTTGAAAGGCAGTATCCCACAGAATAAGTAGGAGAACTCGTTACTATAGCTGTTGCTCTTTTAGTTTGAAGGATTAGCAAACTAACAGTATACTGTTTTATACAGTTAAAAATATAATGCTTATAAGCTGTTATGAGAATTTCCTTTTTCACAATGGAAATGTTGGTTCCTAAAAGAGAAATGCTTTTTATAATTATCCTAGACTAGTGTATCCCCCAAATTCTAAAAAACATGATTTTATTTACTACTAAAACAAAATCAAATGCTTTCTAATATAGATTTAATACAAATCTTCTCTTACAGCTTTCCTAATATCTGCTTTGGTATTTTAAACCAATAAACATCTTCCCATTTTATAAAATGTGATACAAATGGAGTTTCAGACTACTTAATGAGGACTACAGGTTCAAGGCCTTACTAAAGCAATGCTGAGCTTAGTGGATTTTCAACACAAGTAATTATTTCCTGAATACTAGAATTTGCTGAATATATTCCAAGCACTCATTTTTCATGCTGCATAATTAATCAAATTATAGCATTGTGTTACATTATTTTCACATTTTAATCTTGAATAAGGTCATTCTCAAATTAGCTGGATCAGACAGTTTCACAGTAGTGATATATTTAGTCAACGATAGATGTAGAACTCATTTATTATTCTTGTAGTAGCAGATGTTGGCAGCTATGCTGTAGTCCAAAGTGTAGCAGCTTTTCTGATGGTAAGGACTCTTCCATGTGGAAGAGACAAGAAACATTATATAGAGCTAGGATGTGTCTAGGATGTGTTCTGTTATGTAGGTGCAGTCACCTGAAGGTCACAGAAGTTAAGTCTTGTATCTTACAGAATAATAATATAGAAGATAGGCAAGTCCAAAATAAAGATCCTAAAACCTTGCTTGATTGTAGCTTAAGTATGAAAGTACTTAAAATCTACTAGATCTTAATTTTTTGATTGTAAAGTTCTCAAAGTGCCTAAATCATATACGTCATAAATCTATGTAAATCTCCATAAATCTTTGTTATAAGCCTGTAAGTCTTCACAATGTTTAGCAGCTAGGCAACTACCTCACACTTTCAACTGGTCTTCCTCTGCTTACTATCTCTACAGGACACAGTTTAGTAAATGCTCGAAGCACACACTATTATGCTCTCTACAAAGGACGGGCAGAGAAAATGTAAATTTTTTTTGTGATCCTCCTACACTTAATCAGAGTAGTGGTTAGACTGTTCTCCCCATATGTGGAAGACTCATTTTAACAATCTTTCCAGACAGTATCTGAACTGGAATATTCCCATGTTAATTTTCTACCTAACAAACAAATGTTATTTTCCAGGCCCTTTTGAATTTGTGTAACTTTGCACAGGACACCAGCAAATTTATTCAATAACTAAAAAAGCAGCAGCAAAAAAATAGCACAGCTAGAGATTAGATTGCTCAGTTATAAGAAACGAGACTGGTTATCAGTTTCTGCACCAGCGAATGTAGCCAGAAGAGTATTTGGGGAGAAGCCACCACTTGGAGGCACACTCTGTATGCCAGTTCTCTGTGCTGGCTAACTCTCCTGTTGGCCCAATAAATATTTGATTATTCCACAGCTCATAAAGTAACTTCTAACTTTGAGAAGTCAAGGCTAGGGAATTATGACCAGAGATCAGTTATCTTCCTGCATCCAAGAATAAGTCAGCTAGAAACTGTTCTGTGTCCAGAGGGATGGGGAATATGACCAAATCCTGGCCTCAGCATCTCACAAACTGGATTCTGTGGAATGTATATTTAAGTGCCTAATACTTCTTTATGCATTACCTAGGGAAACTAGGCACTGAGGTGAGGGTTGTGGATTGCCCGAGGCACATACTCACAAGCGGTTTGTAACAAGCAGTAGTGTAACAAGCAGTTTTTCAATCCGAAATATTTTTTCTATCTAGCCTTACATGGACAAAGCTGTCCTGAGGTCTCTAAAACTTGAATTAATGGTAGGTATTATGTGACAGTATCCTGCATATGTAAAAGACCTCATGCCTCAAGAGATTATATTATCCAGTACACATATATTATTCAGGAAAAAAGTAAAATTTATTTATAGTTACACTTATGCAGATAGTTATCACTATTACCTCATAAAACCACTAAAACCACTAATAAAACTTGGTTAAAATAGCAAAACCTGAATATTAAACTATGCACCTTTTCTTGCCAGAGCAACAAAATTATATTATTTTTCTAGAATTATCAAGAAATTAAAGTTCACAACTATAAACCACAAATTAGTTCTAAAGGCATATTAAAATAGAATATAATAACAAAGTATTCTTACCTTCAGTTTCTTGTATAAATAGCTCAGTTCAGACGGTATCTCTAGGCTTTCCTCACATTTTTCTCTACTTTCAACCTTTTTTTGTTTTAACTGGTGTGACTGTAGCTTTTCATAAATATGTGTCAACTTTGAAAACTAAAAATGAAAGCAGAGTTGAACATACAGAATCTATCAAAGATGATCATGTGGCCAAAATTTTCTTTAAACTAAAATCGCCAACTGGAGCTTCAGCATTCTAAATGTTTAATCAATGTAACAAAGAATCAATGAATAAAGTTAATTTATTAGAGATGAACAAGACTAAGCTCTCATCTAAATGTTAACTAACTCTTCAAATGGATTCATCTAACAGTTACTTAATTCTGCTGAAGTTCTTCACAGCACCATTACTCATAGTGCCATTTCTTCTACAATATTTATATGAAATGTTCTATACTTGTTTACTGCCATCTTGTGTTGACATTTTTAAAGGGTGCTTCACTAGGCAGAATGAAGGATTATCATTAACATATTTTAAACTTGCATGTTTCTTTTTTATTATGAAAACTGTTGAAATGTCATGGGTGTCATGTCTGCATTCTTCCGGAATCATTAAGTACCAAAGAGTGTCTGTGAGAATTATACACTAAATACTGTTCTGCTATTGATCTTACCATGAAAGTATGGCTTAAGAGTCAGAGACAAAGGAGTCAGAGGCAGAGAAGGGAAGGTATCAGTAGAAGTACTAGCCTCTTCAGAAGGTACCAGCCTCTTCAGAAAGATGGCTGATCTGATCAACAGTTAGATGTACTACACAAGCAAAGGGGCTAGTGGCCATTAGCAGGTTTGATACAGCAAACTGGCACTGTTTGGTAGAGATGTGTACATCTGGTTTTGAAAAAAAAAAAAAAAAAAGGAAAAACAAGGATCTTGACAAAGGAAACACTAAAAATATGGTCTTGTAGGAAGCCTAGTGAAAAAACATTGCAAAGAGTGTTGAGTAGAACAGAAGCTCACAGCTATGAATACTGATCATGTATCTTGTTTTTTCCTTTAAATTCAGGTATATATGACATTAAAAATTCTGACTCTAACATGAAGTCCTCTGTCTAATCAGACAAAATCCATAAAAGCTCTTATTACTGCTCAGGTGAACTACTATCTGGAAGAGAAATTACTTCCAAGGAAGTAATTGGAAATAGAATGGAATCCTATTGAACCAACCTGGAATGAGCAGATAAAAAAGATGGCCAAAGAAGTCCAGAAAAGATATAGAATGGGTACTAGAGTTAAAAAATCATCTGTAAAATTCCTAGAGACATTAGAGATTATTTTGGAAACTCATAATATGGAACACCAAAAAAAGATTGAAGAGATGACCAGAAGATATGTTGTCCTAGACTAGAAAGTTTCATGAAATGGGGAGGTCCAGGGATAGATTTGACCAACTTGGAATTTTTGAATAGAAAACTCGTAACATGGACTTACAGAGCTAAGATATTTTTGAATAGAAAACTCGTAACATGGACTTACAGAGCTAAGATATCACCTTCAAAACAAAATCAAAAGTCTTGCAGAGAAGCTGCCTATATTTGAAATTGACCTTGCCAGAGAACACCGTTAAGATAAAATATCTAAAATGGGTCAGAGTATCCAGGCTCAAGCAACATGGATGTCATTGCCTTTGGAAGAAAGATATCCTTTTTCACTAACAGGAGTTTTGCTCTTGCACATATTATGGCATAAGTGAACTCTCTGGGAAGAACTCAGGTGAAGACAAGTATTAGACTGTTCATGCTAAAAAGGCTAGGAAATACAGGATCCAACACTTCAGCAAAACAGGAATAGAATGGCCAAAATGAGAAAATTTAGTTTGAATATTAGATTTATTTAATGAAAGTAGAATATTTCAGACAGATTATAGTCTGGATGTTATCACGACTGGGAACTAGACAAAAAGCCAAGAATCCTTCCATTTAATGTTAAATATTTGCTTTAAAAATAAGGTCTAAGTTCTCTTTGCATGTTGTACAAGTGAGTTCTGGGGTAGAATTCATCTAAGTTTAGGTTTCTGAAAATTAGACATCCAAACCTGAGCTACTCTGCATCAGAAAAAGCTGCCCCCAAATGCTTAGTCATTTCAGCTATCGTAAATTCTCGTCATTCACTGACATGAATTATATTCTAGGATTGTCCATTTCCCTCCATTGACTCTAAAGGGAGCCTGAGGTAGCTTAGAAGTAGTCATCTAGCTTTTAAATGTCTAAGTGAGGCAATTAGATGCTAAAGTGCTTAGAGCAAGAATGGATTCTTGTTCTTCTGCTGAGGGATTTCTGTCATTTTCAAAGTGAGAATAACTACTAAACATTAATATAGGAAAAAATGAAGGAAAAAAGTAATGAAGATGAACCTGTTAAAGTTTTTTTCTATTTAATCATGACAAAATGTACATTTGACTGAGTGCAGTAGTGTGGCCTAAGAGTTTCAAGTTACATACCAGGAATTATTTCCCTAATATAAGGAAAATACAGGTTTTACTGCATTCAACATGCACACAATCAATTCAGTGGGAATGTTGCTCATTTTAAACAGCTGCTTTTATCAGCAGCAAGGGTAAAAAGCACGGAGGACCACAGAAGCAGTATTATCAGAGAGATATTTGTTCTGAATAGCCTAGCATTCTGAGAGCAGGAAAAAGTGATTCCTTCTACCGAGATTAGGAAGGAACAAAAATTGGGAAGGTTTTTAAGAATACATCTGCAGAGAAAGACACAATGCTATTGGTAAATTGTAACACACCATTCGCGGAAAACTGTATTTTAGCTCTTAAGATTATACAGTGTAGAAGGAGGTATAACTTTCAAGTGAGAATAAGAACCAGAAGAAGGGAGACAAAGGAGAGCAGGCAAAGATTAATACTGTCAAGGAAGTTCTGTATTTTAGATACAAGTTTGTGCAGCTAGGAATTAGGGACTTTAAAGTCATGCTGTTGTAAACACTGCAGCACTGCAATTTTAGAAAGAAACTCAGTAAGGAGATGTAGTAAAAGGTAAAGGAGCAGAGTGGGATAGTCCTACTGTCTAGCATAGGTGCTTGGAATTGTTCTGACAGGCAAACTTTCTGTTTATCTCATAGAGAATCTAGGCAGGCCTCCTAACTTAGGCTCTTAACAGTTTATGTCTTCAGTCAGTGTGTATTGGATGAGTATTTCATAAAGAAGTATAGTTAGTGAGTGGAATAGGAATTCGAAAATAAAATGCAGACAGCATCAGTGCTGGAACCTTTGGTAAAATAAACAGAATAACTGGGAGAGAAGGGAATGTTTGGAAGCATAGATTGAGAAAGTGATGTATATTCTTAAGAGCTAGAAATCCAAACTTCTTGCATAAAGATAAAAGAAGAAGCAACCAGGAAACTGAAAGAAAGGTTAGGTGGTCTGAGTGATAACTAAAAGGAGAAGCTTGGTAAGAATTATAATCAAGTTTACAGAGAGAAGCTTGTAGGTTAGGAAGTGTCAGATCCTTTAAAAAAACAGAGAACGGATTGTGTTTGACCATGGAAAGGACTTGAGGGCAATTAACAAGTTCAAATTCAAAATCTTTATGAAGAATGATCTGGACTTTCATTTCAGAAAGGTCCATTTCAGTGAAGATCTTAGCAACAACATGTAACATAAACCCAGTCATTTTCAGCACGTGATACAAAAAATTAAGAGGATAAAAATATTGCAGCAAATGTGAAAAAGGATAAGAAAAGAGACTGCTGTATTTTGGGGGATAGTTCTGCATAGCTAAAGGTACCTTACAACCTATATGTAAAAAGTCACACCATTTTTCATTGTATGATGTTTACCTTCTCAATAATGCTAAAATGCTGTTTCACTTTCTGTAATTTGTGTAAATTACAAAATAGCTTTTTTCTAGCTACTTTCTCAAATGATTAAAAATAACAACCAAAACAACCCAAAACATTCTCTACTTACTCACAGAACTGTTTGCCAAATCAATTCTCATATATAAAAAAAAAAAATTAAAGACAACATAACCTTAAAATTAAGTTATGCATTCATTAATTTGATAGATTTGGGTGGTGTTATCATCTCTAAATGAAAATAATTATATCCAATTGATGCAATCCAAGATGATTCTATGATGCGTGATTGGGAATTTTTAATTATAACACTCAATCTCCAGTAGGAGAATCCAGTGAAGGAAACAGCAGAAAAGCAGGAAAAACAATGTAGAATTATGTATGTTAGCTTGTTAAAATCTGAGAAACAGAATAGACTGAATTTTGCGAAGAATTTAGATTCATGATTGAAGTGGAAAATAATGAAGAAACAAAAACAGAGGCACAGAGCAAACACAGCAAAATGGAATCATAGAACCATAGAATATTGTTGGTTGGAATGGACCTTTAAAAATCATCTAGTTCCAATCGTCCTGCCATGGGCAGGGACACCTTCCACTAGACCACGTTGCTCAAAGTCCCGTCCAACCTGGCCTTGACTGCTTCAACTGATGAGGCATTCACAATTTTTCTGGGCAACCTGTGCCACTGTCTCATTAATTCTTCCTTATCTCCAGTCTAAATCTACTCTCAGTTTAAAATACTTGCCCCTTCTCCTGTTACTACAGGCCCTAGTAAAAAGTCCCTCCCCATTCTTCTCCTAAGCCCCCTTTAAGTACTGAAAGGCTGCAGTAAGGTCTCCCTGAACAACCCCAACTCTCTCAGCCTTTCTTTACAGCACAGGTGCTCCAGCCCCCTGATCATCTTCATGGCTCTCCTCTTCACCTGTTTTAACAGGTCTGTGTCTTTCTTGTGCTGGGGGCCCCAGAGCTGGATGTGGTACTCCAGGTGGGGTCTCACCAGAGCAGAGTAGAAGGGGAGAATCATCTCCCTCGACCTGCGGGCAGTGTTTCTTTTTATGCAGCCCAGGATACAACTGGCTTTCTGGGCTGTAAACACACTCTGTAATAAACAGAGCCAAAACAAATTCCCAAGGTCAATAATCTGGGTTACTCTAGTTTTATACTATGTTTCCTTATGGAAAGCTATCAGATCACTTTAATAATCCCTCTAAATCAGGCAAACTAAACCAGAAAAAATTATAGCAAAATGATAAAAACAGTTTAAGTCTTAAAATTCCTAATATGCAGTCTTATTAGCATGAATCTAATTATTTATTTTATTAATTTGCTAAGGTTTTAGTTTATTAGTCCAAAGTCAGGAAATCAATTATCTGTCTTCATAACAGATGTCACAATCACACCAAGATCCACCCAAATAGTTTGGACATGTCAGTACAGAAATGATAATGGAGACTTGTAGGAAGCTGTAGTCATAATCATTTGTATGGCACGATCCAGCTTTCCCAAATCCTTAAAGGTACATCTATACCACTAGGCATGTATAAGCTCTTCACAAGACAATCATAAAATAATTAAACTGACATTTTTCTTACTTGAGATTGCAGTGCTTGAAGCTGAGTTTCATAATTCTGAGCCATTTCATACTTAGTTTTCTGTAAGTCTCCCAGTTTCTGTCGAAGTAGTCCCACCTACAGTTAGAATAAGCCTTCAAATTTACCTTTTCTGAAGTGTTCCAAAATAGGTCATTTTTGGAATAGTTATTTGAAACTTTGAAAGAAGACTGTTACTTAAAAGATAGATATTAAAGATATATATTCATTCAGTAACAAGAATAAAATCGGATACCACAAACACAGATTGTGTCAACATCAAGTTAGGGATTTTATAGTAAAAAATCTTTTTGTATGCTTACGTTATGATTTAATGATAATACTGTATGAGTCTGTCATGAAAGACCATTTAATGAAAACTTTTCTGACCCAACTACACAAATGAACTGTTGTGGCCCATTGTGAAAACTTTGCTTGAATGGTTTATATAATCATATGAATGACTTTCAGCTACTTATGCACGTATTATCAGGAGACACTGTAGATTCATTTTGGGTCCCTAAGTACAATACCATTTGAGATATCGTGAATTATCTGAGTTTCAAAGAGATCTGAGGATTATGACAACAAGTATACATGACACCAATGTTTTTCTGGAGAGGCAGCTGAAGCTAGGTAGAATATGCTAAAATATTTCAGGTAGCTTCTCTGTATGGACTAATAGTTCATGCTTTGAGGGCTGGTTAGCTGAATTATCCTCTTGGCTCCTCTGACTGCAGTAACTATAGACAAGTTCCTAACTGCACATTAGGGAGAATTACTTAATTTTCCAAACTCCCACTGTCAGTTTAGACACCAAGAATGCCCGTGTGTAAACACCTAACTTCAGGATGTCTTGAACTAGAACTGAATACTGTGCTAGGATTTATTGATACTTCTGAATGAATATTCAGCAGACGAGACTGTGAAGCACGGACAACATCAAGTACCCTGGAGCTTTCAGTTTGATAAGCACGTCTAAGTGGTAATATGATTTGAATCTTCACTATTAATAATCAAATTATCATACAAAGACAGTATATAATGTAAAATGATAAAAATCAGGTATAAACAGGAATTACAAAGAAATAATTTTGTGAAACTTTTTGAACTGTACATTTCCATTTAAAATTTCCGATGAAACTAGAAGTATTGGCATTTAGAAAAAGCATCAAATTATCTTTTTACAGCTAAACTGAGAATATTTGATTTAGACCTTAGGGAAATAGAAGTAATATGAGACTTTCAATGACATTTTTACAATCACTTTCAGAACAGAAGCACACTTTAAAACAAAACACTAAGGATAATTAGTGACCTTTAAAGGGTGTTTGGTATTTTTACATGATAGAACAAACATGTCTCCTTATAGAGCATTTAGAGCATACTATTAACTAACTACCAGAATAAATACTTTCTGTATAGAACGTGATATTCTTAAATACCTCTTGACCTTTTTGATCCAGTTTGCTTTGGGCACTTGCTAATTCTTGATTCTGGATATCCATTTTTGCTTCTAAAACTTTCATCTTCCTTTCCCATTCGATTTTCTTGCTATTTACCATGATGTCAATTTGATGCACTAATTCCTGAAGTTCAGCTTCACATGGAGAAGCTCTAATAATATAAAACCAGAGATATTTATTTTTTTCAAATAAGAGTAAGGGAGAAGACAAATTTTTATTTACATTGCTAAGATTTTATTTTAATTCTGATGCCAATAACCATTTTTCAACATCAGAAAGAAAGAAATGGGAAAGCTAAATGATGCCTTCAAACGTAGGTGGAATTTCACTTCATCTATCTTAAGTTTGCCTGAAGTAAAAATCAGAGTATTTAGCATACTCTAGACTATTTTCCTAGTTTAAATGCTGTTTGATATTCTCTCACACTTTCAGGGGTGAACTGTCAAATGAGTGTAAGTTGAGCTGAAAGCATCCAGGCCCAAACCTCAGTGGACAAGAGCAGGAGAAGCCATATATTAAGTTGCTTATGGGCACAGGACTTCCCACTAAGAATTCATAATGATGGAAGCTGAGTTTGCTGGAGGAAGTTATTAAAGAGCTGGCTTGAAAGCAAGCCACAAGTCTTAATTGCTATTTCAACTTTTACACCCTGTTTTCTCATTCTCTTTGTGGAAAGCGGACTTAAATAACAAGGTGACTTGTATAAAATGTCCTAGTTTTGGTCGGGATAGAGTTAATTTTCTTCCTAGTGGCTGGTACAGTGTTGTGTTTCGGATTTAGTACAAGAATAGTGTTGATAACACACTGATGTTTTAGTTGTTGCTAATCCTTAATTTAATCCTAAATTAAGGATTTTTCAGTTTTCCATAATCTGCCATCAAGGAGATGCAAAAGGAGCTGGGAGGGGGCATGGCCAGGACAGCTGACCCAAACTAGCCAGAGGGATATTCCCTACCATAAAACATCATGCACAGTATAAAAACTGAGAGGGAGTTGGCTGGGGCACGGATTGCTGCTCAGGCATCTGTCAGCAGGTGATGAGCAATTGCATTGTGCATCACTTCTCTTTTCTTGGGTTTTATTTATCCCTCTTTTATTATCTTCATTTCTGTTACTATTATTATTACTACTACTATATTTTTTATTATTATTGTTATATTTTAGTTTATTTTATTTATTAAACTGTTCTTATCTCAATCCACAAGTCTTACTTTTTTTTTTCCAATTCTCCGCATCCCACTGGGTGGGAGGAGGAGTGATCAAGTAGCTGCATGGTGGTTAGTTGCTGGCTGGGGTCAAACCACGACATAAAAGTGAGCTTTAATTCTACTAGGAAACACAGAAGTCAGTGCATTTTGAAAAAGATTTGACTTTCAGGGGCCATGTGCTGAATTTCATAGAGATTTGCACAATATCTGCAGCATAAACATTAGATTTTTTTCCCAAACTTCTGAGATTATATTTACAATACATCCCTTACACCAGAACTTCATTGTCAGTAATAGACAATGTTTTACACTGTTGTTTCAGGAATATGATGTGTCCTAAGTAACAAAATAACGATATATAGTTAATTTATGGTATATTAGAAGGGCTACCTGAAACTGAAAGCAGTTAAAGTTGCCCTCTTATACTGCCCCTTACATAGGAGCAGTATATTAATTTTTAAAAATGAAACTTTGTCTGGACAGTGTCAAACAATGTTTAAATCAGCTGGTGTATACCACTTAGCAGATACAGCAGAATTTTAGTATGGAGACTTCTTTATTCCATAGCCATTCCAACTTTGTATTTGATGATGAATGTAAAAAAAAAAAAATTGAAATAAGAAAGATACAGATTAAAGAAAATTTGGTTCTGGATACTTTTTCATTCAAGAGATTACATAATTCTTTCTGCACTCTAAAATTCTGTATTTGTAGAAATTACTATTTCACACAAAAATTATATAGTCCTAGGTTATATGAGATTTTTTTCCTGAAGCATTTTGGACAGTTTATTGCCCAGTTAACCTTGATTGTTTTATGAACTGATAGCTTCTCTCAATCTGTAAATTTACAGCTGTCATTTCAGATTTGCAATGATCTATGTAAAAGTCAGAATCTTTCTAGAAATCATGGATCTATTCAACATTCAGTGAAACATTCCAGTTAGAAAAAACCCAAACATATAACTGTTTATTGAAATGTTCCTGAACATTTTATTTTCCTGATTTATTGCTTCTTATCCACTTAACCTAGGATTTTAGGGTTTGGAACAAAAGATAAAGGAGACAATGTACACTCCTGCCTAATTACTCCCCATAAAATAAAGACAGGGAATTTTATTCCATTAACAGTCAGAGCTGCTTTGCTTAAATATGTACATGAGCCCATAAATGTTTTATAAAATGTAATTTTCATAGTCATATGGAAATAAAAATCAGACTGATTTCTATCAATATAATTATACATCACCAAAAAAAATCTTTGTCAATCATTAAAGACTTCAATCTGATCTCAGTTTACTTGAGATACGAGATCAGAATTAGTTAAGACAGAATGTTCTATTAAAGCCTTTAGCAGACTTACCACTGTAATGCTTGCTTTGTGTCATTTATTGAAATAAAATTATTTTAATCAACTTCATTTTTCATGATGTTTAATCAAAAATACCACAGCTTCTAAGCATTTTTTGTCTGTTCAGAGCTCATAGAATGTTGGATGTAGATATTTTTATACTAAGTACCAAAAGGGGCATATATCTCACTGAAGTGAAGGAAAACCTTTCACTGACTTTTTAGCCAGTGGAACATGAGCCGGCAGTGTGCCCAGGTGGCCAAGTAAGCCAACAGCATCCTGGCTTGTATTAGAAATAATGTGACCAGCAGAAGTAGGGAGGTGATAGTCCCGCTGTACTCTGCACTGGTGAGGCCACACCTGGAGTACTGTGTCCAGTTTTGGGCATCTCAATACGAGGGAGATATCGAGGTGCTGGAGCGAGTGCAGAAGAGGGCAACGAAGCTGGTGAAGGGCCTGGAGAAGAAACCCTGTGAGGAGAGATTGAGGGAGCTGGGACTGTTTAGTTTGAGAAGGAGAAGGCTGAGGGGAGACCTTATCACTCTCTACAACTACCTGAAAGGACACTTTAGAGAGGTTGGTGCTGGTCTCATCTCACAGGTATTTAAGGATTGAACAAGAGGGAATGGCTTTAATCTGCAACAGGGGAGGTTTAGACTGGACATTAGGACAAAATTTTTCACCAAAAGAGTGGTCAGACCGTGGAATAGGCTGCCCAGGGAGGGGGTGGGGTCACCATCCCTGGATGTGTTTAAGGGTCGTTTAGATGAGATGTTGGGGGAAGTGGTGTAGGGGGGGACTTTGTAGAGTAGGGCCGATGGTTGGACTCGATGATCCCAAGGGTCTTTTACAACCTGAATGATTCTGTGATTCTGTCAACATATTGAATTTTTTAAATTTTGAGGAGTAGCATCCCTTTCATTTTACTTTCTGTAAACATTTACTTTCCATACAATTTTTTAGTGGCATGTTATCTGCATATCCTGTTCTCATATGAGTTAACTGCTGATAAACTGTTCTACTTCGTTTCCACTTATTTTTTGGAGCTTTTTTAATACCTTACTTGTTTCCTGTTCTAGTTTTAATTGCTTTACTTTTTTCCTAAATAAGAGATTCTATCTATAAATTACCCTAATATACAGTTTTATTACTTTATGTAGAAGACATACCTTTATCTTATCTTTATAACATATTGGAATGTATTGAAATGTGTCGTCTTTAGTTGTTGCAACCTTATCTTGGCCATGAAAAAAATTTTCTTATTTCAAATCTTCAAATTACTCTTTTCAGTGGTATGATCTGATCATTGTGAAGATTTCTGCATTTTCTCTCTGCAACGATTTAGAGATTAATGTGCATAACCACTGCCATATCTAAATGAAGGTACAAATAAAACCAGTGTTGTTTCTCCACTGTCAACTCTCCCTTATCTCAACCAGTTACACTGTTAGTAAACTGTTGTAGTACACATGCTTTCTCTTCACTTTTTTCGTGTTATAGTGACTATTCATTGTACAACTGAAGTGCAATCTGCATTTAATTTCCATTTCCTCATACTGTTGAATAATTTTCAAGTTTCTTTTTTTTTAAATTTTGATTACAAGCCTATATTGAATTTCCTGTTGATAAAGCCAGCAATTGTGTTCTTTCATAAATTTGTTAACTATCCATTCTGATAGCCAAACCGATGCAAAAAAAATGTATTGTAACCTATTACTTTTCATAATAAATTTAGCCTTCTGATAAACAAGGTTCTTCACTTAAAATAATCTAAGAATGTTGGGACATTGTTTTGAGTTATGACATGTTCCATTTTCCTTTTAATAATACTATTCATCTCACTGACATTTCCCCCCAAAATAAAAGTGATAGCCACTGGTTATAATTTAATTGGTTCTGTAATTTATAAAAACTTAAAATCTATGTATTCTTTAGACTGCTGATGGTACACACTGCTGTGTGCATCCGTATGCACATAAAGTGCCTTTATGATCGCTAATCATTTTGCAGCCATTCTAATATCTCTGTAGCATGATGGCTTGTTAAAACGAGCATAGCTATTTCCTTAAAATGAGCATAGCTATTATTTTATGAAATAATTGCCATAGAGACAGTCACACAGATACAAAAGGTGGTGCAGCGTCTGAATAACGTAGCAGCAACTTGCAAAAGGGTTAGTGATAAAAAGCACAGCAGCATGCCTGTAACCGCGCCATCTTAGGAAGTGTTGAAGAGGATTTCAGTTCCCCAAATTAGAACAGAATGCCTTTTTGTATCGTAAACCTTACAATCTGGTGTATGTTTTTGGGGGACATTGCAACTGAGAACACGCCAAGCAATTAGGAACTCTAGCAGAGCCACACTTAACCAAACACAAACTGAGCCATGAACTCAGAGGTAATATCCCTATTGCCAGTAAACCTTCAACTGCTGAGCGTGTTGCCAGCACATCACTGAAGAACAGTAAGCTAACTAACATGCTTCTCTACTGTAAATTACTGTGCAATCTAAGCCTTAATATAAGCAGATGCTTTTACTTCTGGTAGTTGATACCACCACCTTGTGTGAATGCTAGCATAAAAATGTTTCCTTTTTTTTCTGGTAATCTTTCACATCCCAGCTGCTCAGCCAACCCTCCCAACATCTGTCCTCCCAGTGTCCACGCACACATACTGAAGTCCCCTGTCTGTAGGCTGTGCTCTGGGTCAAGTGCTGGTCCCACACACTCTGCGTTTCATAGCCTGCATACTCAACTTCTGATTGCACTACACTCCAAGAAAAAAAGAGTTCCTTAACACAGAATCATAGAATCACAGAATGGTTTGGGTTGGAAGGGACCTTTAAAGGTAATCTATTGGATGGATGGATATGTGTTTATTGAATATCTTATTTTTGGTGCTTAATGGTGCATATCCCTTGTTTTGATTATTATAGGAAATTGGAGCAAATATGTTAGATTTAACATATAATAATTAAAACTCAACATTTTTTAAAAAAGTAAAATTCTTTAAAATATTTTTATATCAACAAATGCTTGAAAATTTAACATTATTGATGTTAAGCTTGGAAAGGCTTTTAAAATACTCACATAAATCTTAATGCCTTTTAAATGTTAAAACTGTTAGCAATGCCATTTTAAAATTTAATATGAGTCACAGAATGATAATAACCAAAGTGCAAGCAAGTAGTACACTGAAATGTATATATCACAAAACAAAACCAGCCCCCTCCCAAGTGCCTGAAACTCATCTCAAAATAGCATTAAAGATGTAGTAAACTTTGCTTCCCTCTGGGTGGAATATAAAATGGGATTTTAAAAACAGAAAAGGAAGCGCTAGCTGCATTAAGATTACCTTTTCTTTGGTACTGCTGTAAGGACCTGTGGCTTGAAGCCTCATGCAATGTCAGGTGGCAACACTTTGGTGAACCACCAGCAATGACTGTCTGATTTTAGCTTTCAGAAATAGGTACTTTATTGTGTGTCACATGGAGCATTGCAAGTGCAAAGGCAATCTCTAGCCTGGGTCATCAGGTTACTCTTTCAGATCCACCATGGCTGACAACCTTCCCTCTTAAATTTCACCGTCTCTTTTGGATCATCCCACACAAGGCAAGTTCTCCAGCTGTTGCTAGAAAATTTTCTCTCAACTGTTATTGCATGCTTCTTAGACCTAGAACCACCAATACAGAGAAAGGAGCTGTTGAAGAAAAAATCCCTTCTGAAACAGCTTCTCAGTCTATCTTCACCTTCTCTGTCTAATTCCTTACCTAGATCCTCTAAGTATACCTGCAGCTGAAAAAGAAAAGCTGTACCTGAAGCTGTAGATTACTGCTGCTGTTCTGCTATCAGAACTATTCTGTATCATGGCTGTGGTACTCCAAACATCTGCATAAAGGTGTATTTGTCAAGTTATCCCCACCTGCTAGCATATAGATACTACTAACTGCTGTAACTATTATTTTAGTCTATTCAGCATTTTGAAAAGTGTGCTAACTATCCCCCCCCCCGAATATGACCTATCACTTGGTATCATGATCATGAGAACTTATTTTGATCACTGGATGTGCAATGCAGAAAACACTGGTATCTATTGTTTAATATGCCATCGAGTAAAGAAACACTCAAAGAAAATGAAGTATGCATATGGGTAAAAAACCATTCCCAGTTTGCTGAATTTATACATCAAATGGATTATTCATATGTGGAAGTAATGTCTTGTACTTAAGCAAGTGGCAGCTATTGTTTTTTGGTTGCATTTACTTTGAAACAGCTCAAAACACTTAAAGTTATCTAAGTTTTAAAGTGATGTAGGCAAGCTCTTACTCTTCTTATGTTCTATCTCTATATTGGTGAAAATAGAGATGATTCATATTCTGCTGTCATTAGTAACTATCTTAATGTAAAATCTAAATGTTTTCAAATCTCGACGACTTAAAATCCAGATAACAGGTTTTACCAACTCCAGGCCTTTATCACTTTTTTTTTTTTTTCACTAGTCAGACCTTTCTAGCTCTATTTATCTGTCTTTTGCTTTGGAGTTCTGCACAGATCTGTCATTTTTTTGATTGTTTTGTAATGGGCATTGAAAGAATATTACTGTCCATACACTTTAGAATAAAGTTGCAATTTAGAAACTGACATTTTAAGAAGATTTGGTTCATACTGTTAGTCTCTGCTTTGTGCCTTCTTCCGCTATTACTCAGGTTTGCTGACAAATAGGAAAATATGAATGGCCATATTTACGCAAACACAAATCTATGCAGAACAATGGTAACAAAGATTTCCATCTTACATAGTAATTCATTAGTTTTTGATCCTTAACACGGCTTCTAGAGCCAATTAATTCATTTTATCTTCTTAAAACTTGCTTTTAAATAGGAAATATATAAAACAGTTGCGATACAATCATCCATTAGAATCTTCTATCCCAAAGTTCCATTATACTAACTACAACAAATTTATTGAACATTTTTCATCCATACAGAAGCGTACACATCTGTGGATGGGTAATTTGCGATTTATGAGTTCTTGCAGCTGGGATGTAATTGCCATGATTGCCACCACCGTTATTCAGCCATCTTCCCAAATTTTAAAGCTATCTGCATTATCTCTGGAATACTGTCAGCACAGACTGGAACGAATGTCTGTCATTGGATGCGTATTCTAAACTACTCTTCCAGATTCTTTGTATAGTTAATGGAAATAAATAGCTACCAAAAATACCTGGTTTATGATGGGACAAATCACTCTCTAGATTCATCTGTAATGGCCTTAAATTTCACATATGTCAATTACAACAAAGGCCAGGCAGGATCTGAACACTTGAGATAGGCTTCTGATTTGTTAAACAGTATACAAACAATAGCAATATTTTGATTTCTTTTTTAAATTCAATTTTTTATATGACTTTATTTACTAATTGTATCACTAACAAAAAGCCAGAAAAAAAAGGCCAGATTGTTCAGAATATAATATTTTACTGCAGCAATTTTTTATAGCATTAAGCCGCTCATATTATTCTTCATACAACAGAGCACACTTTCAAATCCTGTTAAAACTTTCCTGGGCCATAGTAAGGTGTGATTGAATATACATGTTTCTGTTATTTTAAGAAATAGTTTTACACTTAATATGCATCAGATTACCTTGGACTGCTTCTTGGTAATAATGATAAAAGAAACTCTTCTATGAAAAACAGGTAATACATTTAATATATTATGATAGATAAATGTTCTATTTAGTGCATTACATGGCGAAGTACTTTTTATATTGCCATATTCCTTAACAGGGTGGATGGGATGAGGTCCTACATCAAATCTTACTCATGTTCACACTTCTTTAGAAAGTTTTTGTGTTGTACTAATATTTTTTTAGATTAACACTAAAAGAACTAAACTTGGATAATGTCAAAAAAAGATAATTGTGTTGTGATGAAAAGTGCACTTAATACTTGGGAAGAACAATTGTGGTTATTACCTGTGCAAAATAAGAATTGGGTGTTAGCAATTAATAGCCTTTTTAAAAAAGATTTTTGAATGTTTTAAGAGCTGAGATATGTGAGTTTATACTGCTGTAGCCTAGCAACTTCAACTATTTTTTAAAACAGTTTAAAATAACATTTCTTAATACCTTAATAAAACCCCACATAGCTTTCTTTTTTCTCCTTGTTATGTTATGAAGATTTTTAAATGTAAATAACTGTCAGTAAATTAGCTAAAGCAGCAAGATGTGTTGTCTTAATTATCAGCAACCTCTCCAGTTTGCATAGAAGCAGCAGCAGAAATTGAGAATCACGTTTGCCTCTAAATTCATTAATATTTTGTGTTTCAAATTTTCAATAAACCCACATAATTCAATTACATTATATATTCAACGCCCAGACAATAAGTCATTACTTACTCAGTGACAGCTTGTTCCTGAAACACTTCCAAGTCCTGCTCCATATTACTGATGGTTCTTTTAACCTGTTGAAACAACAAACCCCAAATAATTCAGATTCCTGAAAGTGTGCATTTATACAGCCAAGTAGTGCATATCGGATAGTTTTATGCTTTCAATTCTGACATTCTCCCATTGTAAACAGCAGGGGCAGGGGAATGTAGCTCTAATTACAGGCTGGAATGGGCAAGATTAAAACTTCTGGAGTAAACTCAGCTCAGTGTCAACAGCTCTTGCACTGAGATACTAGAGGTGGTGCTAGCTTGAGGATAGCCCTGGATTTCCAGGAAGTTTGGTTTGGATCATTCTCTGTTGTATGGTGTCAATGATTTGTCAAGACACTTTAAAACACATAAACCTAAACTTGTCATAGATCCACGGCTGCATTTCTCATACCTTCACACTCCCCAATTAACATACACCTGGGCTGTAATTGCTCTCAAACACAATGCTGGACTCCTGTTGACTATTTGCTCCCTGACGTGGCAGATGCAGCAGCGCTGAGACACGCAGCCCTCAAGTACCTCAGCAGGCAGACCAGAACAAGGCTGTTGGTGGGACCAGTCCGGTTCTGTGAGCCCAGCAGGACACAGGGATGTGGGGCAGGCTTGCTGCGTGCCAGAACAGGTACCAGCCACATGACGACATGGTGACAGGGCGGCATGAAACAGCCCTAATTCCTCGTGGGGGTGAGCAGTGGGGCTCTCAGGGGCACGGGTACCAGTGCAGATGTGCGGACACTGCCGCGTGGCACGGCAGCCCTGGCTCCGCGGGGACCGTCTCCTGAGGTGACACCGCCACAGGGGCTCTGGCTCCGCGGGGACCGTCTCCTGAGGTGACACCGCCACAGGGGCTCTGGCTCCGCGGGGACCGTCTCCTGAGGTGACACCGCCACAGGGGCTCTGGCTCCGCGGGGACCGTCTCCTGAGGTGACACCGCCACAGGGGCTCTGGCTCCGCGGGGACCGTCTCCTGAGGTGACACCGCCACAGGGGCTCTGGCTCCGCGGGGACCGTCTCCTGAGGTGACACCGCCACAGGGGCTCTGGCTCCGCGGGGACCGTCTCCTGAGGTGACACCGCCACAGGGGCTCTGGCTCCGCGGGGACCGTCTCCTGAGGTGACACCGCCACAGGGGCTCTGGCTCCGCGGGGACCGTCTCCTGAGGTGACACCGCCACAGGGGCTCTGGCTCCGCGGGGACCGTCTCCTGAGGTGACACCGCCACAGGGGCTCTGGCTCCGCGGGGACCGTCTCCTGAGGTGACACCGCCACAGGGGCTCTGGCTCCGCGGGGACCGTCTCCTGAGGTGACAC